GGGCCCCCCGCCATAATCAACATATTGGCGGTTTCTAGGCAAAGGTCAATTGTCGCATAAGGCTGTAGACAATATCACACATACGGTCTACTGCCTCATCTGCAACCCAAGTAGGGTCAACAGACGTCGGAAATATTTGACCTACCAACAGCGGATCAATATCGCTGTCCTCAGCTATATCATGTTCACCTACCCAATTCTGTCGCGGCATAATTCAGGCGAGACGCGTTATTGAACTGAGTTTGGAGCAAGGGCAAGAGGAGTGGCCCTCCTAAGGAAGCGTTAAAGAACAGAAAGTTTGGAAACGATGCATACATCTTGTCTACAGGATTGACACCTCTGCATTTATGGATGTCAGTATATGGGATCAGATTGTAGATAAATAGAGCCGAACCATACCCGTCGAATCCCATGTCTTTCATGAAAATCATTACATCCGATATATTCCAGTCATTCCCAATGATGTCGGGATTGATTGTTATAGACATAGAACTGAACGCCTGCCGAGTTGAAAGGGACAATAGGGTATAGTATCCCTGGTCGGCTGTCACTTGCGAGGCCGCCTGTTGGACCCGATTGTCCAGAGCTATAGCTCTCGATTGAGCATCTGAAAAATCGGAAAGGAAATCCACAATCTAGAGTTGGTATTAGATCTGTGAGGCGGACGGACGACATGGACCTGACCGCATCGGCGATAGTTGGATAGGTCGCCATGAAAAGTGGACTGCGTAGCTGATATTCGTCATTTGAGACGGTGTATTGGATGGCCGGATTGTGGTTGTACCCTACGGCCCACACAACGGGAGATGACTGGGTAGAAACAATGTCCCCGAGGTCGATAGACATGGCAAAAACAGGCCAATCACTGGTAAAAACTGTCATACATTCCCTGGAGGCGGTGATTGACGCAAGTGACTCACTCGTCAATCGCGCGAAAATTGACATCATTTTCTACGTTCGCAAGGGTACCGTATCGTGTAAAATTAGTTCGGCAGACAGTATGAGAGCATGTCTTGTAGGTCACATTTTCGCCCTGTGAGAGTTCATATACATAAATGCTCTGCGAGGCTGCTGTGTGGTGGACGTACACGAGACATAGCATAGTAATAGCTACCATCCGAAGGGAACTCCAGCATCTCTGAAAGATATGTCGGCTGCGACAGTTGGAACTGATGGTACACAATGTCGCTCGGTGTCATCGTGGTCCAGTTCACACCGTCAGTATGAATGGGAGATGCCCATTCTATCGCATAAGTTACTATGACCAATCATTATAGAACCAACAACGGATTACGCACGGGCAGCAATGTCAGAATAAACTTGTACGCTGTGCGCCTCGCCATCTGTCGCTTCGGCCTCGACAGCTAAATATGAAAATGATAAAGATTGTTTGACCCAGTCAGAGGGCTGAATAATCAATCAATAAACATGCTCGCGCAAACAGTCCAATTGAGAAATTCAATACATACTTCCACGGGTGAGAGAAATGTGATGGTCATATTCATGGGGCCCGCCTCGATGACTTGGATAGTCCGCGTAGGTGTGATATTAGTGCTGACCAGACGAGCAACGGTGACATTTTCATTTGTGCTGCTGTTACCCAACCACTGATAGGTTGTTCCATCGACCATGATACGACCCAGCCAGTCCGTTTCCAGCAAGTCCGTGGGCTGCGAGTTTGAGAGCGCATGAGTATCCGATATGTGAAGCAAGTGTCCACGTGAAGACTCACTCTGGCATTGAACCAGAAAATAGCAGAGCTGTTTGTGGAGGGGAGGGACGATTTGGTCGCAATCGCCCAGCTATTCAGGTAGGGTGATCGGACAGCAAGGGGGATGACAGAGGGAATGAATGACTGGGCTCGAACGAAAGCACCGCAAGACGACAGCACAAGGGTGTAAGGTAGGAGCCAGGGGTACATGGTTCAACGAGAGACAACCTGGAAAGTGTGTGAGACGAGCTTTCTCCCTCCCCATCTTTCGCTTTCATTGCTCAAATAAACTCAGACTGGTACCGAGACATATGCATCATATCAGCTGGGTGTTCTCTCGGGTATTGACAGCGACGGCTTTGCCTGGGTGGGCTCCGTCGCACTCGAGGAGTACATACTGGTCGTCCTCCTTTTCCATAGCGCGCAGCACGAGGTCAGCTTAACGGCCGCTGTTCAAACTTTCCTAGAGACAAAGAGCCAATACATGGATGCAGCTGTGCACCCTGCAAGACGGCCATCGCACGACTGACCGCGTGAGATGATGCGTGAATAAGGACCGACACCGCCATGCACTTGTTCATGCGACACGAAGACATCTGCGGTGGCCTATACGCACTACATAGTAATGTGGAATGACACATAACTAGGTCATGGCAGTGCCAGTCGTGCTAGAAACACTGAACACGTCGTGAGTACCACGCGAACAAAGATTTACGCTGACTTGAAACATACGCTTTCCCACAACTTGACAAGGAGGACTCCGAGTGGAACATCTCAACCACGGCCACCCCTCGTCGTCACGGATCCCGTCTTCGGCGCCTGATGCCGCATGATTATCAGGCTCTCCGTGCTCACTGCACACGCAGCGGCAGATTGGGTATGTCCGCTGTCTGCACTATTGCCTTTGCCGGATCCCTACGATGCCACCTGCCGGTGCATGACCGACTCGGAGGGCGACGTCGGCATGTCGTACTTTAGATGTGCCAGGATTGCAATCATTGAACCGTTCGCATTCCACTCGATATGCAATCCTCCAGGCTCGATGATGACTCCCTTGATTTCCACTCGGAACGAAAGCATCTCCTTTGTGAACTTCTCTGTGAATACCCCGAGGGCTGTGTACACCAGAGGCGTCCTCGACGAACAACGACACTTCAAATTGTCATCCCCGTTTCCAAGACTTCTTCATCAACAAGCGTTATCCGTGTGAGATAGATTACCGTTGGATCTCAACTTGGGTGTGTTTTCGTAGCATCATTGTCAGAGAATAAAAGCTGATCAATAATGGATAGCATTGGGACAACAGAGCCTCCGAGGCTGTCACTGGGACTTCTGGATGGGTGAGGAAGGCCTGCCGTCGGGCGAATGCTTGATGCATCCGCAGGTAATTGGCGGCGCCGGCCTTCGTAGGTCAAATGAGGGATTCACGTCCCAACCTAAGCACGTCGGGTATGCAACTTCATCGTATTGCTTGCACCATTGCATTGCAGAAAAAAAGGCTTTTGAAGGATGGCGCTGGCGCAAATGTAAATCTAATTTTCTGGTCTCTGGGATGTTGATATTCTGGACATGGACTGAAGTGCTGACGTCACGGCCCGTCGTCTGGTTTGTCTTTGCGTGCCCAACACTTGAATAGGGCTTGTAATTCAACTCATTCCCTCGTGTTGCATTGCCAAATCGCGAGTCTTGAGACCACAACATACATAGAGCCGTCTCGTCACTGTAGGACCATTGTATCATTTCTCCGATATATGGCAGTAACGAGACTAAGTTGGGCAGGGCCTTGGTACAAGACGTGTCATCTCGCGCCTGGCTCAGGACGATATCCAACACGCACTCCCCTTTCGAGCATAGCATGCCAATGTCACGTACAATCGTACCCAGACTGCCACACGGCATAGAGATCCGCCCCTCCAGTCGTCCCGGGGCGAAAAGCGAGGTCTTCATTCATGGTCGTCGGGTGTATATTCCCCCAGCACCTGCTGGAAAGGCTCGTCACGTCGCCTCCGACCCCCAAGAGAACTTGCGGAAATTCGCAATGGTATGCCAGCACTGTTTCAAGCCGCGCACCGCGGAGGTGAAGCTCATGAACTGTTCCCGTTGTCTGCATTCATCTTACTGCGTGAGTGGCATCAATGCTGATATCAGTCGCATACATCCTTGGTCCTATCCCTGTTCCCCTCCAGAGCAAGGAATGTCAGAAGTCTGACTGGCCTAAACACAAGAAAATTTGTGCCAAGGTTGTAGCCATCGCGGCGGAACATGCGGAGGAGGGCACAGCGGATCGACACAAGGCGCTCGCTACCTACTGCGAGAAGCATTTGCAGTACATAGGCTTATTCAGTATCAAAGCCCTCGACATCGTCAATGATCCCACCCGCTCCGAACGCGAACTTGTCGTAATATGGGTTCACTCCCGACCTGGACGCTGTCGCCCCGAGACTGCCTTCGTCGCTCTCGAAGCTAATACGGCCGACCTCGATTTATTTGGGTCAGAATATGGGGACCAATTTCGCGCCAGAATGCGTAGCACAGCTGCGGACACCGCAAAGCTCAACAAGACCGGATTAACGCATTCTCTGATAGTTGTGGTGGTGAGCCTTGACGATAGCATCTGGGTGTACCATTGCGTCGAGTATCCATTGAAGGGACTCGGACCCCTGTTTATGAATGATCCGCAGAAAGGGCCGTGGAAGGAGTCTATGTTCCATCTTATGAACAATGGTATTGTTCGGTAGACTTTGAGATACCCCATATCATTTCTCTTCTGTATCAACGAATTGAAGGTCACCGCATGTAGAGTCGGGTATAGCTAGATACAGTATATCGAGGGTAAATAACAAGAACTAGGTCGTTCAATAGTATCAAGCACATAAAGAAACGTAGATCGCGCATGAAAGATCAATCGGTCAGCTCCAGCTCTCTCCGTATCCTCTCTCTGACCTCCCTCAAACCCCCTCCGTCTCGCTGAACACGTCTCGGGCTCCTTGTTCTCAGCTCCTCTGCACTCTGATCTTTGCCCTTGAGCCGTCCTGGACTATTAGGTGTCTTGGTCGGACTCCCGCCAAGTCCCCCAGTCTCCGCGATCGAGCTAGGAGCCGGCATTTCTAGCCATTCCGAGCCGGCGATATTCAGCGGACGCAGAAAAAATGGGCATAGTTTAGCAAGAAGATTTAATGATTCTTGTGCCTCAGCGGCAGATATCGGCACAGGCGAGGACTTTAGCACCGCGGCCACAATTTCGGGTGTGGGCAACGCACGCCGCTTGCGTGAAGTCGAACCTGAGGCCGAGCTACTTGAGTTGGAAAACAACCTGCATGACGGTGTTCAACTTGAGAAACAATACACGATCGTCGCAAAAATGAACTTACATCCACACACTCTCCGCTACGCCCCCCAGTCTGCCCAAGATGCATCTCCTGCGCGTTTCTTCTTGGCTTAGTTTGAGCAATTGGTCCTTCGTCATCTTCCCACTCGCCGCATCGCCAGTTGCCCTGCCCTTTGTGGGAGATGCAGTGAGCGAGCGTTGGCGAATCCGTTCGTATAATGCTTGCCGGCGCGAACTCGTTGGAGTCTGTGGAGCTGTTGCAGCATCCCCTCCACGTTGGTGAGTAGGTGTTGAGGGCACAGACGGAGCGTTACCCGGCGTCGGCGTGCTCCTTCCAGACAACGAAGATGTCCTAGAGCTGGTCGGCGTCGCGAGGAGACTGGATCGGGACGGTGAGTGGGAGCTTGATGGCGTCAACAGGCTGAGAAGAGAATCTGCACGCTCGCGACGTGACGGTGTCTGCGGGAAAAATACCGAATTCTTTGATGGCGTTCCTGTTTTGCTTGACGGTGTGATAGGGAAGGGAACAGCAAATTCATGATGTTTCTTAGTGGGAGACCTGAAAGGGGTCTTAGAAGGAGAACGGGTGGGGGAGGATGGTGAAGCAAGAATAGAAGCTGATGACGGAGACTTGGGAGAGGATGAGGCAAGTAGGCGTGTCAAGGTAGACGGTCGGGTGGTAGCTGGGAGGGAGGGCAAATCAGCCAATGGAATGTTCGGGACGGAACCCTCATCGGAATGCAGCTGGCGATGATAAGGAAATTCCATGAGTGATATCTGCGAGATGAGCGAGATCGTCTGACTTACCTTGTACCAGCACTCAAGCTTCCGGAGAATTTCCTTTCGTCGTGTTTCGCTTGCAGCAGTCCACCTAGCGACAGCAGCCATACCTCCACCCATGCCTTTGTCGATGTCCATCTCCACCTCAATGCCGATGCCATACACGGGGACTCTAGCTGCGACCGCCTTAGAGTAATGGCTCGTCTGGCTAATCACAAAGCCCGCCCCTCCTCGCGTCCAGTCTTTTGATGAAGACTTTTCAGGCCGATTCTCGAGGAATGGATTGTCATCATCTTCCGACAAAGCGATCATTGCCTTGGGGGAGGACTTGCGGGGAGATATGCGATTGTCTAAGAACGGATTCTCATCGTCATCCGTAGCAAATGTCGGGTTCTTCGTGAACGCCTTGGGGGTCCAGTCCAAGAACGGGTTGTCGTCCTCATTCATCAATGACTTTTCCCTAAGCGTCGTCGCTTTGGACGACGAGGCGAGAGTATCAGTGTTCTTGGAGAAGTCGTTTCCGTCAGACTTCGTATCTCCCTTGTCAGCAGCCTTCATAGTTGGAACGTCTTTTCCATCCCATTCCCATAACCAGCAGAGTCTTTTTATATCATCCGTATCAAATTTGGTATTGAAGCCAGAGTAAGTGGTCAGCGAGATGTGGTTCAAGACGTTGCGGATGACACCAGTGTCCTCGGACGGGGCAACAGCACAAGACGCTAAGGCATGCGAGAGCGCTTGCTGTAAAGCAGTGTGAATGTTATAGAGGCGCGAGAGCGAAGAAGGCAAGCCTGGTCCATCTGCCTTAAATTTCTGACGCGTTACAGTGGACGGAGGGGTGGGGGGACTAGCGAACAAAACACCATTTATTAGAGACGTAGCGCCGTAGTTGATGTGCACTCACGCAATCCGTAACTTCTTCGGTGTAAGGACGTCGTCGTCGAGCTCTATATGTGCTCGTTTCTTCCGAGGAGACACTCTCAACGACGCGTAGAGGTTCGACATTGAAGCGCAGCTATCCAACCACTGGAACGGTTGAACCTGTGGTTGATGGGAACGTCGGAGTTGCGGAAAGAGGACAAGCCACAGACGCGTCTGATGGACGCGCCTATGTAAGCAGCTCACACGTTACGTGTCGCGTGGGTCACGCGTGACCGAACGCGCTTCGTGTCACGCAATCCCGAGCCAACATATTCTGCGCACCGTGACTGACATGCACGTTGAGACTGGATAGTAAATTGGCATTATTGTCGTGGAGTATGTTTCTCGTATTTTGCTACACTGATTTTTATGTACTGGTCACAGGGGCCATGTTTCTATGATACATATCATCATTTATAAGCTACTACTCCTTGTTACGCTCTTCGAGCACTTCACCATCATTACTGCGAGGGGAAATACCAAGAATCTCGTCGGCTTCTGGTGAACCAGCTGGAGGTACATTCTTTCTAAGCGAAACAGCAACGGGGGATACACTCTCGTTGTATGCAATAGCAAATATTACGTCCATATCTGCGTGAAGGCGTTAGTGCCGTCCACGGATCATGCCATGGAACAGTGTCGCACCTTCCAGCGACCGTCCAGCCGTTTCTGGGAAAAAGAAATACACAATAGGAATGATAAAAGCATTCAGCGCAGCAAAGACTATCAAATCGCGTCATGAGTCGATGACCTAGATATATTAACTTCAATCAGCCTACCAATATAAGTTCGCCAGCTGATATCATTGAATGATGGACCAGTGACCATCACGACAACGAAGTTGAAGATCCAGTTGGACGCGGTGCTGAATGCATTCGCCGGTGCACGGATTTTCAGGCCAACAATCTCCGCGGGCTAAAACGCGCAATCAAACCAATCAGCATGTGAACAAAGCTGGGCAAAGGACTCACGTATAGCCACGTCATCCCAAGCCATCCAACGGCGAAGAATGAGTTGAAAACGAACAGTAACACGCAGGACGCGACTTGACATCCAGGCGTATTAATGCTTCCAAGAACAGCGAGCAGCACCATAGTGAGTGTCTGCCCCACCGAGCCGAACAACATGAGTTTCCGGCGACCGATTCGGTCGATAAGGAAGATGGCGATGATACTGGCCAAGAAATATTCTGTACCGTTAGCGGCAGCAATAATACGTGAGTTGACGTCATTAAGCCCAAGACGTTGGAAGAGGATCGTCTGTATGCAAAAGACGTCAGAAGTGCACCGTCATCGGCTTCTGAGGAAACAAATCCTACAGCATAGCTGTAAATTATGCCAAGTTAGTAAGACATACGGGAGGGAACAAGATAGTACATACTATGTAATGATATTTATGCCAGAGATTTGTTGGAAGCACTGGTTTATAACGCCCAAGGAGGCTCGTCGAAAGTTTTGCGAGCGACTATTCGTGAAGATCTCCCGAAGAGCAGAGCGGTCAGAGGAAGAATTACTGTGTTCAGCAGCAATAGTTTCGCGAATAGCATGGTAGGTAAGTTGCACCGATTCATCAGTGTAGTCCTTGTTCTCGAGAGCTGAGATGATCGCCAGCGCTTCTGCTTCGCGACCATGTTTCGCAAGCCATCGTGGCGATTCGGGCAACTTGTCAATCGCCATTCAGCATATTGGCGGTGTGTAAGACGAGAGGGAACTCACAAACATGACGCCCACAATCATCATCAAAGCTAGCACAATCTGAAAAGCAATAGGGACTCTCCATTGCGCTGAAGAGCCCGTTAACCAATAGCTAGGGGTGTAACGCCAATTAGCCTCGTAAATTCAAACATCCACCATTTATCAAAATTCACAATGCAAAGTCTAGCCACTGCATTGAATGACTTCAGATATGTCAATGCTGAGAGAGCGCAATGTCACGCACGTATCTGGGCGGTATCAGCATCTGTTATGGTAGGTGTGTATAAGTCTACTCACGATATCATAATACCAAATGTGATCAAGCTGCCTTCAACCATAATGAAACTGCCTCTCTTCGCGGCGGGCGAACATTCAGCATGGTATGTTGGAACTGTGGACGTCTAATCGGGATTGTCAGCATTGAGGGTGGCAATCTCGATGCGAACTTACATTCAATCCATTGCCGAGACCCGTGATGATACGAGCAACTATCATCTGAGCATAGGTGAAGGAAGTGGTTTGCAGTATTGCGCCAACGATCATGATAGAACCTCCAATAAAAATCGTCTTCCTCCGGCCAAGCTTATCGCCAAGCCAGAGGTTAGATAAAGCACCAAACAGGCAGCCAATTTCCTGCAAAAAACCGTTAGAACTAAGGTTCCTGCAAGTGCGTGGGACGCACGCATAGAAGAATCAGAGATCGAGATGGACTAGCAGCGGGTATCCGAGGCGGCATCAGCTGATGCCTCTACAGCCGTCACCTGGCATGTATTGTATAGAGCGCGTGTTGTGACATCAGGTGCCACTGGCAGCGCTCTAATTGAAAGCTGTCTGCCCCACACAAACCATAAGAAGCGCGACTCACATAGATGGCGACGAGAAAGCTTTGTAAAGTGGCATGATTATCGCCTATCGCGACTTGAGGAAAGACTTTATCGAACTGCCGACAGCTACTCAGCCGCCAGTGGCGATGTGTGATATGAGTATTAATCTAGGACGCACCTGGTTTGCGGTGAGGAGAGCAGACATAACACCTTGGTCATAACTTCACGCACATGCACATGTGAATCTTCGCTCTCGGGCAAGAGAGACGGCTAACGTACCCAAATAGCGTGAAGCCTGTGCCCGCCACGAATGCCAGAGCAGCCGTCAATCGCCGTCCACGCAGGCTGGGTGCAGCTGCACGAATCTCATCCTCAAAAGTTGAACCGTAGGAATAAGCAATACCATGCTGAGCTTTCTCAGAGACGGATCCACGGGCGCTACGATGCGAAGATGAAGACATAATGAGAGCGGAGCAGGCAGTCGCTCTGGGGCGAGATGCGTAGAAGGAAGGCCGTGGATTATATACGCATTGAATTGACGACATTTGGATGGAACGAAGCACAAAAATCGGGGGTGGGAGCGACATACGAGTCACGAGGCTTCCGGAACGACGAAAATTAGGCGAAGCGCTGCAACACCACCACGAGGGAGTGCGTGTGGCTGATCAGAGTAGGCACCCCAAAAGCGAAGACGCGATAGGATGGGTGGCGCGCAGGGCATTGGAATAGATGAGGTATGCACACTAGTTCTCCTGATTGTGCTCCCATCATTCATGGGATCTTGCCGACGACGCTCCACCGTTCGGGCCATAAAATCTGCAGGCGAAGGGTGCAAAACTGTTGACGCACAGGAGACGCCGGTACTAAATAGTCAACTCTCTCACAATTGTTCGCGAGATTCTTGATAGAAAACGTAAGGGTATTCTGCGTCATCACCACAGGAATGAGAGTCAGTTTACGCATGCGAGAGGTCCCACAAATGAGGAGCGCACCGCACTCGGATATTCTTCAATCGCCAAGCCATACAGCCACCCTTCAGAGATTCTTGTCTTTCGTCTAGCATGAAACAAAAGTGGTTAGTAGTATTCTTACCATTTCAATCATAAAACAAGCAAAGGTTGGCGACGAGCCAACTAGCGATGGTTCTGAGGCCCTGGGCGTTATGGGTATGTTGAGAAATAAGCGTTCTCAACGTATATCAATGGATACAGCAATACCGGAAATACCGAGAATCGGTTATGGATACCTCAAACGCCTTCTATTAGCGTCGTGCGGGCGGGACTAGCGCATCGGCGGACATCTGTGTCATTATTACAACCGCAAGAGAAAAAGATATAGTATACCGGATACTTAGCTCTACCACTACACTATCCACATCATGAAGCGCAACCAATCAATACCAATCAAACAACACTATAACGCCCCGCTGTAGCGGTGGGATTGCGCATTTCCGCTTGTAATGCTGCCGCAGAAGCTTCAACAAGGAGACGTTTGATTTCCCGAACGGCTTGTTCAACCTACCATGGCACAACAATACATCAGTACAACCATAAGACACAAATAAGACACATCTACACACCCGCCATTCCTCATTGGACTCTATGAGCAGATGCAGCTTGGGAGGGCCTTCTGGAGGAGGCTCCTTGGCTTGCTCGTAGTAGATACCTGTGTGCAACACTGAGCGACAGGCTCTTAAATGCTAACGAAAAATTTACCTTTGTTCGTCACTGATGCGCCGGTCATATCGATGAGCTAACAGTCGGGCTTCAGTAAGATAATTGCGAATGATCGGATTGGCCGACGTACCTGCACCATAGTCTCCTTGTTGGTAACTCGCCACCTCGCCTTCTGCGGGTAGTCATTAATCGGGATGATAGCATGAAATTCCGTCGCATCCGCATTCGCCTTCTTCCCAGTGAGATCCTCGTGTTGCAGTTGTGATTGAGCGACAAGTTTATGCGCTCTGAGTTGAGCGTTGAGCTTCGCGACGACGCTAACGGCCTGCTTGTGGGCTGCTGTATCTTTGCCGGCTCGCGCAGCAGCTTCCTCAGCCGCACGCAGAGAATTCTGAATCTTCTCTTCTTCTTTGGCTTGTGCGAGACGTCGCGCGGCCGCGGCAGCGCCCGCGACACCAAGAAGGCCTTTCGAGGAGTCGGGAGCAGGTCCGCGCTTAACTTCGACCTTGAAGCTACCGAATGTCATGTCGTCCACAGGCTCTTTCGCCTTAGCCGCGGGCTCCTCCACAGCCTTTTCCTCCTCTGGTTCGCCGTACGCCTTGCGCTCCGCTCTTTCCTTGGCGTCTCGCTCTTGGTCTAGCCTGTCAAGACCCTTACCACCAAATCCGGATCCTGCCACTTTAGCCTTGCCTGATTTCACTTTCTCCAGGAAACCTATGCGAAAGCTGTAAGTAAGACGTTGAATTTCCCCAAATAAACGCAACCCAACCGTTTGCAAGCTCTTCAAGCTCCTTCGGAACATCTGCGTCGCTGGCCTTGAGAGCCCTGAAGATGTCAACGGAGTATCTGTCCTGCTCAGGAGTGATGAAGGTGACGCATGTTCCCTTGTTCCCTGCACGACCAGTACGACCTGCACGGTGCACATAGTCTTCCATATGATTCGGCGCATCATAATTGATCACCAATTTCAACTGCTTGACATCCAATCCTCTGGCAGCTACGGAAGTAGCAATGACAATTGGAACAACACCAGACTTGAAATCAGCAATAGTAGAATCACGATCAACTTGGTCTTTGCCACCATGCAGGGACATGCAGAGATAACCTTTCCGCATGAGTTCTCGGAGAAGATTATCTGCAGCCTCCTGCCTATCGACAAAAATCAGTGTTCGCGACTCGGGATCTTCGTTATAAGTCTGGCCAAGAATCTCCAGAAGGCGATTGAACTTCGAATCTTCTTCTCGGACTTCGACAATTTGGTCGATTTCAGCTGCAACCACTGACCTACCACCAACAGTAATTTCGAGAGGTTTTCGCAGGATTTTCCGCGCCAAAGAGTCCATCTGCTTGGGAAACGTTGCTGAGAAGAGTACAGTCTGTCGATCGGGTCGGATATTGTTTACAATCTTCATGACCTGAGGTTCGAAACCCATGTCGAACATTCGGTCTGCTTCGTCAAGTACTAAGTACGTTACGCGCTTGAGATTGGTAACACGCCCAGAATTTGCGGTTAAGAGATCGATCATCCGGCCTGGTGTACACACGATGATCTCCGCACCTTTCTTCATCTCAGCGATCTGGTCTTTGATTGGCGAACCTCCATATGCGCATACAGCCTGAGAAACGTTTGTCACATCCATCTTGAAGAATAAAACAAGGGAGTAGCTTACCCTGAGACCTAAAACCCGTAAGAAAGGCTTACACTCCCGGTGAATTTGTACCGCCAGCTCTCGCGTTGGTGTCATAACCACCGCCATTGGACCTTCCATCTGCTCAAGTGGTCGTTGATCCTTGATATGTCTGAAAAGTGGAAGTAAAAAGGCAATAGTCTTTCCGGAACCTGTTTTGGCAACACCAATAACATCTCGGCCGGACATAATGGCAGGAATTGCTTGGGCCTGAATGGGTGTTGGTGCAACATAGTTGAGCTTTTTGATGACGTCCAAGCTAAAAACATAATCAGTGCAAGTCTTTGTAATAACGATTGCTAACTACGCACCAACTTGCCGGAAGTCCAAAATGACTCCATTTTGTCACTGGCCTCGGACAATCAACACCACGGATCTTTATACCGTCGAGTTCGAGTCGTAGCAGATCGGCTTCTTCGTCACTCATTGCAGCTACATCTGGAGGAGCGATATAGAACTCCTTGCGGAATAGCTCGTAATGGACACGCGTGTGATCCACAGCAGCGAGATCTTTCTTTTTTGCTTTTTTCGCTGCAAGTGCCAGAATATCTTCAGGATTGAGATCCGTGGCATCCAGTTCATCAATCTCGGGACCTTCAGCGGCATCGTCTGGACCTTCATCCATCAGGTTACTGTCCAAACGAGCACTCCCATTGCTATTGACCTTAAGTTTCTTCAAGTCTTCCATATTGACCTTCTTCACCTCCTCTTTGACACCGCTCATGAATGCATCTAGCGGGTCAACTTCATCCTCGTCCTCGTCCACAATATCCTCGGGCTTGGCCTTGTCGTCCGCGACATTTGCCTCGTCCTCGTCATCGTCTACTTCGAGATCTCCGACGCTCGCCTGTCCATCCGCCATAGTCATGTCCACCTCGGGCAGATCGAGCGTCTCGAGTTTGCGCTTCGTTTCCACAGAATCGTCCAGCGCCCCATTCGTCGACAATTTCGACACTTTGAGCAAGTCGGGCTTGAGCGGCAATCCTTTTAAGCCCAGTCCACTCAGCGCCGAGCGATTTAAGTGAACGGTCGTTTTTGCGGGGGCAGGAGTCGGTGCTGGCAAGTGTCGATCAAGTGGTGTGAAACCATGCCTGAATACTCAACTAAACGAATTGCGCACCTGGTGCAGACTTTCCAGCCAATGCCATAGCCTTTGCCTTTGCCTCATCAAGAGCTTTCTTCGCCTCGCGCTCTTTTTTCCAGGCCTCTAACTTGGCGCGTTTGGCCTTTAGTTTCTCGTCTTCCACGGGCGGCGTTTGCGATTTAACATCCTGCGTCTGGGTAGCTCTTGGAGGAGAAAGATGACCGTCTCGGTCTTTCCTGTCTCTAGATCGTGAACGCCGACGTTCGCGGTCATCTCTGCGGTCGTCGCGATACTCCCTTCGTCTGTCGTCGCGGTACCTGTCATCTCGATATCTGTCTCGTTCTCTATCTCTGTCCCGGTCTCGTTCTCTGTCTCTATTTCTGTCCCTATCCCTCTCTCTGTCTCTGTCTCTGTCCCTTTCATCGTCGTACCTCGATCTAGTGGACCTTTGGCGCCTCGTCGGCGACGGGGACCGCGGTGAAGAGCGGTGGGAAGGTCTTACCCTCTTATTTGGACTATCCGGTGAGTACGACCTGTCTCTTCTCGCCATGATTTCGCAGGTTCCGGCAATGAAGGAAGCAGCTAAGAAGATAATTACAGTGCTGAAGACTGCGAGCGGTGAGCGGGCAAGGACTCGGCAAGGACGGGATCACGAGTATTTGTCCGTGTGTAGCATTCCCATAAACAGTAACCACGATCACGTATGCGGGTCCACGAATCGCTCGTCAAGTCCCAGATTCCATTCGCGCCGCCATGAGCTCGAATGTCCTCGACCCAGCCGCTCTCATCTCCACCCTTCCCAACCTTCTTCCTACCACAAGGAAGAGACTCGAGTATCCTCAAGATGCGCTCGCTGCCATAATACACACAACCATGTTTGCTTTGGGCTTTCGTCTAATTGGAGTTGACGAGGCCTCTCCAGCTCGCACCATTTTGAATAGCGTGCTTCCGGACGAATGGAATCAGCATGCTCCAGGTAATTATACTTTTAGATACAGGCATGAACAGAGTAGCCTCGAGTTTATTGTGAAGATTGTCAAGCTGGGGTCTCGGACTCTCGTCAATTCAATCGCCGTCGAGGTACGTTTATATATCGCCGCAGATTCACGGAAAGCATGACGTTCGCTACGAAGAGCGATAAAGCGGCCACTCTTGACATCTCTACAAACGATTTTGTATCGCCGTCCTTCTTCCCGCATGACCTGAGCTCGCCGGATGCTCAGCCACTCATACATGGCTTTATTTCCTCGAATCGAGTAGCCGATCTCATGTCTCAGTACAAGCTTACAACGGTGCAAAAACTAATTCCCGGCTTGCGCAAAGAGGGATACACGGAGCAGTCCGCTGATCCACCTATCAGCGCTGGAGGCAGTCAGCCCAGAGCCGATGTACCCCCTCCTGCGAGACCAACACCTGTTGAGCCGCCGTATGCGCCCGATCGCTCCAGGCTATATACTCCACCCCGAAATCCCCTTGAAATTGGTAGGCGTGACTTGGATCCTTTCCCTCGCAGTCCATTTGCGCCGCCTTCGCTTTTCCCTGACAATGGAGACGATGGAATGTTTGTTGGGCCTAACCATCCTATATTTGGTCCTGGGATGAGGGGCCAGGGACCAGGTGGACGGGGTCCTTGGGGAGGTGATGGTATTCTTCCTCCAATGGGTGCCCCTCCAGGGGCACGGTTCGATCCCGTTGGTCCAGGTCTAGGGCGCCTGCCTGGCTTTCCTGTTCGACCTCCTCCTGGCCCCGGTAGTGGCGGAGGAACAGCTGGAGGGGGGAATATGCACGATCCTGATAACGACGAACTTATGCCTCCTGGAGCGGTGAGTGATGTCGTAGACGTGATATAGCATTAGTTCATCCGCGATTGCAGGGTGATATGTTTCTCTGAAGATCGGAGAAGGCGCTTGTAGTTCCACCCCCTGTTTGTACAATATGCTGGCTGATTTAGAAAGGTTGGAGCTTGGATGTGAACGCACGTTATGTATCTGTACTTGTAGGAGTTTGATTTCCGCATGATGGTTGCTGGTACAATAGTTGAGATGCCCGTTGTGGACAATTGCGGTGAACTGTGGCATGGCTGGTGTACCATAACGCCTTCCTAAACGAGTTCATCCTGTGGCTTGCGCTCAGACATCCGCAGGCTGCGTTCCAGCCACAGCTGAGAGGCGCCCCCCGAAAAGCTATATAAGCCAGCTTTCAATCGTCCTTCCAGCCCACAACCAGCCCACTTAACTCTTTCTCCCCGCCATGTTCTCCCCTATGAACGGGCGCATGTCTCCAACATCGTCGCCAACGCGCACTCGCGTTGCGCCCCCTGGCTTCCTCGTGCCACCCAAACCCAATGGTGCCACACCGATCGCTCGCATGTCGGTCCGTGAGTTGCGGGATCAGCGTGCTCGCAATGCAAGGATTTTGTCACAATCGTAAATTGATTCTACTCTTCATTTGTCTTCACGTTGAACTCAGCCATTTAGAACAGCGTCTACTTCCTCCTACGCTCAGCGCATTGCCGCTGAGCAGGCTGCCATTGAATCCCGCCTCCTAGAGTTAGTGGAGGTGGATGCCATACAACGCAGGCTCGGGGATGCTCAAATCCACGATGCAGATGAGCCGATGAGTGTTGACCCTCCACAACAACCGGAGTACCATCCCATCGACACGAAACGGAGAGTTTTGGCCAAGTTTGTGCGTCGTCTTACAATTCGCCTGCCAGTCTTCCGAGATCCTGATATCCACTTTATTGCAGGCGTCGCATATGGCGAGCCTTCATCCACACAGCACCGGGATGACACTGCAGGAAGCTGTGCGGATTGAACAGGAGGCTCACGCTGCCGATCAAAGGCGAAAACAAGAGCTAGAAGAGAAGAGACGACGCCAGGGGTATATAGCTAATGGCGAGATACTCACAAAAGAGGAGCGAGAAGCACGGATGTGGGCGTTCATGTGAGTCGCTTCATGGCTGTCTCAATAGTCTCCTAATATCCCTCTTCCCAGGAATTACAAACCCACAGATTCCGATTTGGAGGATGATGAGGATGATGAGGACGACGATGACCCATCAACGTGGTTCGAAGATGATCAAGACGATGGCCGCAAAGGTCAAGATATTGTTGAGCCTGACGAAGAGGACTTCTCTAATATTATTCGGATTGACGAGAGCAGGATTCCTTTCTCAATACCACGAGAAGACTGAGAACCACATTGTAGCCGTATAGCAGTGTATGAATTAATATGTATCATTATATCCATCCACCAGTGAGAACATGAGATAGAGTGGTCATATAAAATGTCATAAAATGCATTAGCGAGCATGAACCGGACAGCTTCTTCCGCGTTGAAGCCAAGAAGCCAAGCAAGCTATGGAATGAGATTGTTAGCGTGCAATACGGAAGGATGCATGGTGAACATACCGTTGTGGAAGCTGCATAGGCAGCTGAGTCTGGCAACGGTGGAGCCTACCAGCGGTATTCAGTACGGCTGTGTTGACTAATTTTGAAGATACTGACCTTTAACAAATTCCTCTAGGCATATAGCACCTGGCAGCAGGCGTGAAACAGTGAACGCATACAGACATTGGCAAACTTACATTCAATGCCTATCAGAGCACTTTCTCCAGGTAGCTTGTAGACCAGATACTTGGCTGTTTGAGGTGTAGTACCGCTACCCCCTTCAAGACAATTTTTGACGTGGGCTTCCTGCTCTGATGGCAGCCCGATATCTGCTAGATTGGTGTTGCATACGGGGCACCTACGAGCGATGGTTAGGTAGCCACATAGCTGTTGGAATGAAATTGCGCACTCTGCCAGATCGCTAAGTTGCGAGCTTGATTGACCACTTGAAGGGCTCGGAATGGTGAGTCTTCCTTGGTCAATAACGATGCGTTCTAAAGACGTGTTTCGAGCATTGTTGAGTCCGTTGGGTACGCTGGCGGTCACTTCTTCATAACACGACTGGCAAACCCTTTGGAGGGCAGGGGTATGCGTAGTTTCAGGGAAAGTGGGATCATGTACCACATCAGAAGGATCCAAGAGTGCTCTCCATGATGAGCAGCGATCGCAGAAAATTCGCCCGCACCGGCGGCAATGCTACCAAGAAGGATTGATTCAGTTATTCTACCAGCGAGTGATAAACCTCACGTGCTGGAGAATTCGATCAGTAACATATTGGACCAGACAACGTTCACAAAAAAACTTACTCTGCGGTTTATGAAGTTGAATCTGCGCCGGCATTCTCGGCATTGAGAGACAGTATCGTCTCTTTCCCACTGTGCATGAATCTGATGGGGCGTTGGTGGCGTCCATCGGGGAGTCAGAACTTTCTGAGGGGCTTCGTGCGTTGGTACACGGAACTCAGGAGCTTGCGAAAGATGCGGTGTAAGATCGGTAAGTCCTCTAGTCCCAGAGAACTGATTCAAGTGACCCGTAGTAGAAGACCGCACTGAGGACGGTCTATGTACACTCGTGGGCTCTGACCCGGGGTAGTGAAATTCATCGTCGGAATCGTAATCATCAAATTCTTGATCGTCTGTTCCCACAAGAAAGTCAGATAATAGACAAGATAGCCACGAGCACGTCAATACCATCATTAGCAACAAGCAGTCCTTGTGCACCAGCTGCAAGACGCCTTCGCTCCAACTCTCGGCTATATGCGTTAAGGAGTACCTCAGCTTGCGTCTTTCGCTCTACATCACTATCACCTTAAAACATAAAATGAGTTGAACGACTCTTTCTGTCACTTCAATCCCTTACCTAATATACCCTGTCTAAGCTCGGTTGTAGCACGCTCTAATTTGGCGATTGTACGTCTGGCTTCAAGTGCTGAGTTGACCCCGTTCGTCGACTCCACATCACTGTACTGAGAGCCAGCCAAATATCTCGCACGTGCCACATAATCTTGCGCAGACATTAATCCGGAACTGGGTACGGGGCCCATCTCTTGGCCGTCACTATCACTGAAATCGTTATCATCTTGTCCGATGTGCGGGAACAACGAGCCGTCTACTCCCAGATGGTACAGCGCACCGTCCGGCTGCAGGTAAGGTAGAGGAGGAATATCAAGCCGCCTACGCATGACCCGAACCCACCGACGTCTCCTCACCCAGGTCTGCGAATTAGTGTTATCCTGGCGAGAAGTAGAACCAGAGCTGGTCGCACTGCTACTCCGTGATCTGGTGCCACCTAGGCCAGCAGCGACAGCCCCACTACCACTCAGAAGACGCTGTAATCGTGGAGGTTTTTCGGACGTCCATGAGTCTTCCGAGTCCTCGAAGGTATGGGCATACTGCCACCCCTCATCTGCGTCGACACCGGGGTGTGTGATGTCCAGTGTCCAGTCCGACCTAATAGCAGACAGATTAGTCGACATAAGTTCTAAAACATGAGATGATACACACAGCCAGAAATGACTTCTCTCAATACCATCCTTTGATGAACCCGGTTTTGGCAAAGTCCAAGGATCTTCCCTGAGCGGAAGCTGTAACCCGCTCCGCCAAGCTGCGATCTCTTTCCTTCCGCTACTGTTGTCAGGAGTAGGCAGCCGAAGCTCAAAGGGCGACCGTCGGCCATGTCTCCCCAAGCCCGAGGCAGAAAATTTCGGACGACCACCAGAAACTGCGAGGGTCTTAAACCGCATATCCAACCGCTGGTTTTCGTACAAGACGAGAGGTACTGTAGTGTGGACTGTCAAGGGATTGTATTGCACGGCGTCATTCTGCCAACGGTCCGCTTCCGCTTTTTGTAGAACCTATAGTGACACAGTGAACCAAAGCTTTTCAACCAGATTAAACTTCGTACCTCGCAAATCCATACTTCGAATACAGCCGCAGCGACGTCATATGCAGTTTCCCCCCAGTTATTCCTTACGAAGGGGTCGGCCGACTGCTTATTCAACAAGTACAGTACAACCGGCAAATGTCCCTTTGACGCTGCATTCACTGAAGAAAATCTCAGAAAATTGTGCACTCGGAGTGAAAGATGCAGACTTACTGAGAGGCGTCCAGCCGCCTTTACTTTTGAGATTAACACCTCGGATATCATCCACCTGCGCCGACGCCCCACCTTCCTCACAAAGCCACCGAACAATATCCAGATAACCCTGAAGTGAATCAGTAATGGATCAAACGAGTAAGGTTTGATGAGCTACAATACCTTGGAGCACGCATTATGCAAAGCAGTCCAGCCATCTGCATCCTGCGCATGAACTTCCGCCCGGTCTGGCAACAAAAATCTCATGACGTGGAGATGACCATTGAGGGCAGCTTTATGCAAGGCGGTCTAACACAATAATTTAGACTGGACGCCAGCGCACATAGTCTCACATACCTCTCCCTCCCTGTCCTCAATATCGGGCATCGCACCACAGTCCTCCACCACTGCATTCGTTCGTGAGTATGGAAGCAAATACACCTGGCGTCAAATGAACATACACCACTTGATAATATCTAGGTAGCCTCTGCTGGAAGCGACATGCAAGGCAGTCTGGCCGATGCGAGAAGGTGCATCGTTGGCGAGAGCAAATGACTCGACATCACCAGACTCAATGGCGTTGCGGAACACAGTTTGAACCCGCTTTAACTCTCCTCGTGCTGCTGCGGCGTGCAAGGCCTCTAGCTGGGCGGGGGAAGGCGGCCTTTTCGCAGGCACCGGAGCCGCCGAGATAACAGGAATTGGGGAGGCTGCTACCGAGAGGGCAGGAAGTTTGGACTCTATCGGCGTCTCTGTGGAAATACCGTCAGAAACACCAGGGTAAACAAACTCCTCGTCATCGGATTCCTCGTGCGCGGTCAGCTCGTGGACAACAGGGGAGGCGGCGCCACTGGCTATCCTGTGTTATTTTGACTTGTCAGCTTGAGAATGTAGGCCCGTGTGGGCATACGCACTCTTCTATAGTCCCAAGAAAATGACTAGAGTCGTCACTCATCGCAATGGCGCGTCGTCAAAGATAATCAACGAGGGATCCGAGTCCGACTCGCGTGCAGCAGCTGCTGCAGAACGCCACCAGCGTGTTCGCTGAACTTTTTGCTTACATAATCATCACGATGATCATTGCAAGTTCTGACAGCTACTTGTATGTAATCATTACATATCATTATTCTGATAACTTGCGGTTCCAGCCCTGTTGCTGACGGCCGTTGATATGCGCACAGTACGAATATCGAGTGACTCATTATTGTATCTTCAGATTGAACACATCTTATCAGGCCTGACAGGATTTCAGACAATAACATTATTTGAATTTGGAAGTAGACGTCCGGAAGCGTAAAATATGTTCCTGACGTCAAGTTACTGTGGACGCACTGGCCAGCCTTCACTGGCAGAATATGGACAGCATGATCTAGGTACCCAAAGAGTGGCATAGGTGCCCAGTCTACCCCGGGCCTTCTCGCGGTGGTCGCCATTAGGTATAATCCGTTGCACGCGGCCTGCATCTTGAACGTGCAATCAACCAAGGTCCAATCAAAAAACGTTGGATGACGCTGCCCGAAGTCAGCAGGTGGCAGATGCGATAGTGAACGGAGGGCTGAACGCATCAACATTGTTGTGCTGAAACAAGTACATACGAAGCATTATCGGTAGATATGTTCCGGCAGTCGCATCGCTCCTGGTACCGGGTCAAGAATGTTGAGGAAGCATAGCCTATCCGCTAACACAGAAGCAAAGTGGGAGACGCTTGTGCAAGAAGCCCAATGGGCATTGGCCTGGACTGAGGGCTATACTTGCAACATGGCGATATCAGCAGGTTCATTTCCTGTCGCACGGCAACTATACGACGGGGAGAGGTGCGGCCATGCATAAGAGAAGGAGCCTTCTCAGCCGAGACGATATTCTGATATCACTTACCCTGGGTGCGCGAATGAGCACGGCTGGATCCAGGCTTTCGCTGCTCGTGGCTCAGGGGCAGAACAGAAATAGGATCTCCGGGGATAAGGCGATTGAAGTGTATCGACAGGAATTGCAATTTAGTTGGTGAGCGCAAGAAGACGAGCGGGTGAAAATGCTAGAAGCCTATCGCATGAGCTTTAGAACGAGTCCCGTGAATTCTCAGCAGAACATAGCTGCGGGAGAAAGCTGAAGGAAATGAGCCCGCAAACGATTAGATCAGTGGCGGGACGAGCTGGGGATACTCACGGCCGCGGGACTGTGGTCGATTATAGTCGAAGTGTGCGTGGTGGTTGCCAGCGTCTTCCCTCGCCAACGCCAATCATGCTCTGAGCCCCGGGGGGGATTGCGATGACGATCAGCGGGTGCGGTTGAAACGCTCAGCTGGCTGGTTGAAACGCTCCCTCCCAGTCATCAGCCGCCGACTGGGCGCCGGCGCCTGGGGCGTATCTTGAACTTGGGTGCACAGACCACTTGCTGTGAGCGCGCTCGCTGTCGAATGCGGTGTCGGGAGCGTCAACGACGTCGCCGTGGCGCTCAGTTCCCCAGGATGCCATCACGATAGTGGAAGAAGGACGAACTGCAACTCTCCCGCTCACGCAACCCGAGTCGCAAGATTTGCACACTCTGGTCTCCCGCCCCCTGATTCCGACTGGGACCTGTTCTCACGCTACATAAGACATGCAAAGCGATTCCATAAGTATGAGACATGCTCTTCCTGACTCGACCTCGTCCTCTCCAGCTCTTTTCGCCCCTCCGCTCTCGTTCTTCCTCTCTCAGACCATCCACGCTCACTAGAATGGCACCTTCTGCAGACATTCACACTGCCACCAATGGCGCCAACGGCGTCCACAACGGTGTCAACAGTCTCAAGAAGTATCAAGATCGCTCAAACCTGGTCCCCTTCTCTTCGCGCCTGAAAGAAGGCCGTGCTCTGGCAGAGGACGTGTGGTCCATTTTCAAGTGCGTCTCCGCATTGGCTCTATTTTATATCCTCGGGTTGAGCCCTAGCACAGTGCTGCCAATCTGCCCGCCGATTGTATCAATCTCGGCCAAGGATACATGAACTTTGCGCCCCCATCTTGGGTCAAAGACGCTGCCGAAGACGCCTTGAACAGTGTCGCAACGAACCATTACTCACATCCCAAGGGCCGTCTGCGTCTCCGCCAGGCCCTCAACAAATTTTACGGCCCCCAGCTTGGGAGGGAGCTTGACGTCGAATCCGAAATTTTGGTAACAAGTGGAGCCAATGAAGGTAAATTCTGATTGATTGCAACCTGTGACTCTTCGCAGCGCGTTAACGAGGTCGTTTAGGGCAATATTCTGTCTTCGTTGCCTTCCTAGAACAGGGTGATGAGGTCATAATGTTTGAGCCCTTCTTTGATCAGTACTTGCCTTCCGTAACATTTAACGGCGGTATACCCGTTTATGTTCCGCTACACCCTCAAGCGTCAGTTGATAACCCCGCAAAGAACGAGTGGTTAATCGATTTTGATGAATTGGAGTACGTGTTTCCTTCTTTTGACGCCCGATTCGTTGAGCTAAGATTAACTATTGTGTTCATAGACGGGCGATTACCCCGCGTACGAAGATGATTATTGTAAATACCCCTCACAACCCTGTGGGTAAAGTCTTCACACGAGCAGAACTCGAGAAGATTGCGGTTCTAGCCGAGCGTCACAACCTTCTCGTCATGGCAGATGAAGTGGTGAGTGGCCGTCAGTTTCTGATCGATGTAGCAAGTATATTCATCCTGATTTAGTACGATTATCTCGTATTTGACGGAAAAGAGCATGTAAGATTTGCGACCCTGCCCGGTATGTGGGACCGTACCGTTACAGTTGGCTCTGCGGGCAGTAAGTCGTTATGTTATTTTCTCTCATTATTTTCTTCATTCCATATTCGCAGAGCTGTTCTCTGCGACTGGTTGGCGAGTAGGTTGGCTCATCGGGCCGGCCTCCATCATCAGGCCCACACTCGCCGCAACCACTCGTATCGTGTTTTGCACAAATTCGCCGCTACAGGAGGCAGCAGCGGTAGGTTTGGAGCAGGCGAGAGAGCGTGGCTTCCTTGAACAGCAGACCCGCGAGTACGATGAGCGCCGTAATGCACTTACGGCTGCATTTGACAAGCTCGGCATGAAATACTCTCAGCCGGAAGGTAGTTATTTCGTGTTGCTGGTGGGTGTTCCATGCATCTTCGCATTGAAATGGTTACTTAACTATAATTAGGATATCTCTTCCGTCCAATGGCCAGAGAACTATCCTTTCCCGCCAAGCGTTTTAGGAAGGGGCCGAGATTTCAGGTGCGTGGTGTTTGTTTTTAGTCGCAACACTCATGCTCATCGGATTACAGCGCGTGTTGGTTCATCGCGATGGAAGTTGGAGTGTCTTCTATACCCGTCAGCGAGGTACGATCATTTCTTCTTCCTGTTGAAGTGCTTAAACCGATCGATTGTGTACAGTTCTACTGCGAAGAACATTGCACCATCGGCGAGAACTACGCACGATTCGCCTTCTGCAAAGATATCGACACCATGAAGCAAGCTGCAGAGCGCCTGCAAAGTCTCAGCAAGTTTTTGAAGTGAACAAGTCATAGCTTTGTGTAAACATCGTCAACCAGTATAGAGGTCAACAAAGCGAGTATTGTATTTGTAATATCGTAATTTCTATACATCGACATCGAAAGAATCTACTATACGCGAAAGCAGTTCGTTGATAGATGTGGCAGATCCATCATAGTAGACTGGATTGCTGCTCAGCCGCCGCGCGAGGAATGTGAATGACAGCATGTCCACTGCTTGCTGCTTGTTGGAGATGGTTCCATCCTCTCTGCGATCGCGATACCATTGACGCAAGATATCTGTATCCAACAATTTTGATTCGAGGGGAAGGCCGTCATTCAGGAAGCGAATGGCCGTATCCTTGCTCTCAGCTTGGCAGAACAGATGGAAATGACCGGCGCCGTTGTGACGAACTGCCAAGCCTTGCATCCGGACGAGTTCTTCGAGACCATAATCCCGCAACTGTCGTTCCTTCTCCGTGACATGGAGATACTGCGTGCCCATGACCACGACAGTCGCTGCTCGTACTGGCACTATCCAGCAAGAGTCTCGGGGAACAATGAGGACGCGCACGAGGCCTTCGAGGTACAACTCTAGAATTAGAGTACGATCCGCCTTGGTCATACCTCCGTGGAAGAATCCAATGCCTCGATTCACGATATCCACAAGTTCTCGATCATGCAGCCTGCCCAGATAGAGTTCGATTTGATCCGGGAGGACATCGACAGGCAAATACCCTCTCGCCGTCTCCGTCTCAAGAGCGCACTGCGTGAGGAGGTCCAACGCGACTGATCGGCATTGAGTACGAGAGGGCACAAACACGATAGATGGTTCGTCAGGTGTTCGTTTAATGGCTGAGTGAACGGGCTTGGCCATGGCTTTGAGGAGCGCGGGTGATTGTGGAATAGTGAACGTCAATGCATCTGTTGTCAATGACTGATCGCGGTCACTGGGACGGAAACTATGCAACCCAATGGGGTCCACATTGAGCCACGCCGCAAGGTCTGAGGGGTCATTAAGGGAGCTAGAAACTCCGATGAACCGGGTAGGATACGTCTGAGTCGCATGGAGTAGCAAGGAAATGCCAAGCTCATAAGTTGCATCCAACAGCTGTAGGTCCTCGCACAAGGCAAGCCTGAGGGCCGCCAATGGCTCCTGCTTGCTGCTCCGGCGCGACATAGCAGCCAACAAAGCATCCGGGGTCGCTATACGAATGGCCTTCCCAGGAAATGGACGTAAGAGCGAGTCGCCTGTGACAACATCCACAGCAACGTCCAAGAACTTGGAAACCTGGCGTAGTTGGGCGGCTGTCTCAGCTGCAGCGCTATAGCAGGACACGATAACGAGTACCCAGCCATTCGTTGTGCTTTGCAGGGTTTCCCTTGGTAAGGCTTGTAAGGCTGAAGCACGTGAGCGACGGCGTGAAAACTTACCAGATTGCAAAGTAGGCTAGCGTGGACTTCCCGGATCCTGTAGGCGCACAAAGCAATGCGTGCATCCGAGTCCTCATAAAACTCCAAAAGGCCTGAGTCTGCAGTGAATTTAATGCGTGAATGCGCTTTGAAAATATTTCCTCGAGAATAGGCTGGTGCAGAGCTGAAGGCAGCAGGAAGGGTAAGTCAAGACGAGGCGTGTGACAGTCGGATGATGTTGGCATAATTAGTTCATCGAATGGTATACCGACTTCGTCTTCAGCTCCCATCCACTTGTCGGAGACAAGTCGAACGGTGACTGATGGTGGAGGTTTTCCATTAGGTATGGAAATGATGAAGTCGATGTCCAGAAAGTCAGTTGCTTGTCTGAAGACGAGGTGAGCGAGCTGTAGGATAGTAAGACCTTTGTGGTCCTCGATCCATACCCAAAATGGCTCGACAGAACCATGTACCTTCGAGCTCCAATTAAATTGGCGGCTTAAGCGAACTGCAATCTTAAGGACATCGGAGCCCAGAGGTCGCAGGAGATATGTGATCTCGAAGGTAGGGAATTGTTTGGCTGCATCGCGGATTGCGGACCCGTGGTGTTCATTCAACCGTACAAGCTCGCCTAATTGATTGGCACTCGTTGCTGCCAGTTCAGCCACGCTATAATTATCAGCCCATCGCTCAAGGTTGTATAAGACATCCTGTTTGAGACTAAATTGCTTCAAGGGATGATCGAACGGCCATAAGCGTTTTTCGATTGCTTTGCTCATTCCCATAAGCACGGCGCTGACGTTGGCCCATTTGCGACTGATAGCTATTTCCAATAGCGCTCGTACGATTCGGCCACCGTTCTGCGCTACATAGGCTTGATCGGATACCAAAGCAAAGTCCTCCGGGCGGAACCTAGAGATGTAGCTTTGCAATAGAATGTTAATTTTATCCTTGCTGGTAACCGTACTTTCGTCCTTGCCGGTAATCATACTTTTATCCTTGCTGGTACCCTTATCATTCCGCGAGAAGTGAGATCAATGATTGACCGACCACTGGCCTTCATACCTTCACATTACACGGAACGTTTTTCCGGAATAGCTCGAGCTCCTTGACTTCTGTCTCACGGACTTGGATTTGGTCGAACTGAAGGAAGCCATCAGATCATGAGATGCCCTTTCACCGATACAGCTGACCTCTGTACTCATACTAAGCATGTCCAATACATCTGCCTCGGACATCCTCGGCTGGAATTTTACCTGGAATATCTCTATGGAGGCGTATCTGATGTAGTACTTGGCAGCTATCCGGCCCAGGTCAGTGATCGTGAAGGCACCACTGTGATCGTCAAATATTATCATTCTGGCCTCTGCGAGTTTTCGCGCGGCATCCGTCACAAGTTGACTGCGCTTGCGACGTAGGGGGAGGTCATTTGCAACTTCTTCACGAGTCAAGCCTATGGATGCATATGAATGTTGGTCCTCAACAAAACGACCGAAGACAAACCGCACCATATTGAAATGGGTTCTTACGCATACGCACGAACAAATAGGTGTATCCCACCCATTGAACGGCGTCGCCAACATTTGCGACAGTGCCTAGCGATATTTCAGCGTTCAGTGCATCGGTCATGCCCGTAATGAATCTAGACTATAGTCAGCTTTGAAGAAGGAATCTACCCAACCTAATCGACGATACAACAAACCTGGATTCTATAGGATTCTAGAAAAAGGCATAAGCAAGGCTAGATCATACTGAGACTGCCCTATGCACCTGAGAAGTAACCGCATCTAGGTAGTGGGAGAGCTTATCTTGCGGGGTACAGATGAAGCCTACACCACTAGTCTCTAAGCCAGGTCTACCTGCTCGTCCAAAAACTTGCAGAACATCAAGAACTGAAAGATCCACGAAGGACCCCTTAGCGCTGTCATATACCTCGGTTCCCTTAATGATTACTAGTGGAAATGCATTGGAGGCGGAATAATGGAAAAGAGATGGTGTGTCTCACCAGCATGAGCAGGCAGATTAACACCCCAGGCTAATGTGGCAGTGCAACATAACACCTATTCGCCAAATGAGCTCGAAGAGTACACGTGGGCAATGATCTTTTCGCTCACTTTGATTGCTCGCGCTTCGAACATTCGTTCCATCATGTTTCTGTCAGTTCTCAACATACCTGCATGATGGATGCCGAATCCGTTGTCGAATAGTTCTTTCATTTCCTTATTCCTGGATTGCGAAATGTCTCGACGGAAGAAGGGATAAGACGGATGATCTTCACAGCTGAACTCGTCAAGAAGACCCTCCATCATTGCTGCCTCTTTGAGAGCCAGGGCAGTCTTAACTGTCTCCTTTCTGGCATGGACAAAGACCATAACCTGGTGTCCTTCGTGAACTAATTCAGAGACTTTGTCAAAAGTCACGCGGTCGAGATTCTTGCGAGCTTGAGAACTATTTGCCTTCCCTCTAATTCCGATGAAGTGCTGCTCCAGAGGCACAGGTCTGAACGAGGAGTCGAAGTAAAAAAGGCCACTATGCCGATTAACACTGTTGCACGTCATAATGAGAAATTAGCAAATTGTGAATAGAGAGAAAATAACCTGAGAAACTCTGCAACGTCCAGATAATTGGGTAGCGTGGCGCTGAGACCAACAATCCGGATCACAGATTGACTCGACTCGACCTGCGGGAGACGTCAGCTTTATCTGCAGTAATCTTCAATGGACGTACTTGTCGCAGAGTGCGCGCGACGATCGTCTCTATAACAGCGCCGCGATCGTCGTTGAGTAAATGCACTTCGTCGATGACAAGAAGTTTCACTTTCTGCAAGATAAGACTTCAATTGGTACAGGCACCTAAAAGAAGAACCGAGCACTTGCGGAAGCTAATTCTCCTTCACCCGTAGGTTTTCGAGTCACTACATCCCACTTCTCAGGTGTCGTGACAATTATTTGAGTTTCAGCAATTTCTGCTTTAGTCAATTGCATATCACCTGGAGCAACAGTAAGACATTACACTGGTTCAAATATTGTTAGGAGACGGAGACGCGCCAGTGAGCTCCCGCACTCTTATTGATAGCCATTGCAAGCGTTTTCCTAGTTTCCGGACAATCTCGGATGCCAATGCTTTCATCGGTGCACTATTGAAGTGTCTCAGGTGCGCCATATGGTTTGAAGAATTCCCTTACTTACACATAAATTATTTTGAACTCGTTCTTCAAGATAGACGCGGCCATAGAGCACGAAGTCGACGCCGAAGACCGGTGTTGACTTAGGACACGGAGGATTGTCAACATCGCAACATCCGTTTTGCCCTAGTGAGTACGAGGACACATGAGAATGGTCTATCAGCATTAGACGGGATTCTTACAGCGCCAGTGGGAGCTGATTGAATGATTAATGGATCAGAATGCCACGAATCGAACGAAGGTCCCACCGCATACGAGCATATTCTCATTTGACCTGTAAGCAGTGGGATACACAATGGACTGGATCCTGTTCAGAGTTGTATAGCCCTAGATATAATTGAGCAAGCTGTCGCTAGCATCTCAATCTAAAAAGATACTTACAGAGAAGGATCCTTTAGCAAGAGGATCTAGTTCGCTTACCGCAATAAGCCTCTCTGCTTGGCGCGGAGGAACGGCCTTTGCGGGAGGTACAATAACTTCTTCATACGCCTGTGGCGCGTATAAGGGTGACATAGGGGGCGCGCAAAGCAGAACTAGTCACCTCGTGGTCATGTCTTGTCGTACCCAATGGTAGAATATACTTGCTACCAAATTGAGAAAGTACATTTCCCTGAGCCACTGATGCAGATGTATAGACATGTGGTAATGTCTCAGGCATTTCGTGCTGTTACTGCTGACTGAAAACGTGGTCGGCTGAATACACGAAGAGATCCTTACTGCTGTTCCCGTGAAAAGAGGACGAGCGGAATTAGCGCGTAACGTTTCCTCCATGCGTCTTCTAGCATTATCTGGATCTAAACTCACTAGGAGCAGCCATTGCACTGAGTGATATTACTTCGAAAGATAATGATACACTCCACCTGCATCCTGAGACTTCGCAATGCTATTCTGCGATACCTCTATTTTCGTGATAACATTCGCATTCTGAAGATAATCGCCGAGCTTTTTGGAGTCATTCATGCAGGTCGAGCACAATGATGGTATTCCAAGAGCTCACTTCACGGATAGTGCTGACACGTCTGGCGAGGATTTCCATTATCAACTCAATTTTGTCGAAACCAATTAGCTCCAGGAGCTCTTCTGAGATCGAATCCACCGGACGCGTGGATGAAAGGATCTCAAACAGAGAATGCAGAAGAGGCTCAAGCTCGGGGCTCCTGAGAACAAGTCCAACAATAAATTTGTGAACTGAATGCCTATGCAAGAGATTTACACACGATAGTATATCTGAGATTACTTCAGAGTGCTGTCCGGTATGGTGCTGTTGTGCCCGGAAGATGTCCAACAAAGTATCCCAAGGAAATTCCTCGTCCAATCCGCTGCCGACGTCGATTGACTGGGCTACATTAAATCATTAGAATCATTGAACGTCACCCTTTGAGCCAATACAGCCATGCCTACTTTCTACCTCACTACTGAGCCTTTTGAAAGTTATTGTATAGTGTAGACGTGCAGAGCATCCGGAGACAGACCTTCTCCACTCGTCCAGCACGAGTCTTTCACCATCAATCGACTCTTCATACGAATTTGTCAACTTAGCTATATGGCTGGCTATGGAAATCATTTTTCAAGAGGTAACGGACGAATACAAACAGTAGGTAAAGCGGCAGGAGGGATATGATACAGAGGTCGAATAGAGACTTGGAGCCTTCACCGACTGAATTAAACCTTTGACGCCGAAAAGGTCCCGCGGCTCAGTGGCTTCGCGGCTGAAGCTCTCCGGGTCGAAAATTACTACCAAGATGACAAGTTCTACGTATGAACCTCCTTTCACTTTGTATGTTATTTGTACCAATGTCTTCGCAGGGTTTCTCTGTACCTGGACCCACAGATACGTGATTGGGTCCTCTTCCCAATCACAGTCGTCATGGTCAGGGCCAATATGACTTCATGATTGACTGTCGTCACTCACAAATCTTGCATGTTAGATTCTAGTGGGCATCCTGAGACACTATATCGTCCTCCTGCTTCAATCACCACCGAAGAAACAGCCCCGTGCAGCCATTCGCGAACAGTGAGTCACTACTAATATAAGCTGGTTAAACTCAAACCCTTTTGCAAGACGTGCTCTCATACGTTCTCAAATTCTCCGCACAACGTCTGCAAATTCTCCCTTGCCGCATCATTTGTATCACTCTATTTCGCAGCATCTTTCGCAGGCATTTGCGGACGGATCTTACTTGAGAGATGGTCCTCCTAAGGGCGACTCACCAGCCGCTCCACCAAATCCTTTGTCTGATCCGAGTCAAATGGATGGCATGATGGCAGGAATGAAGACCCAGATGGTTATGATGGTCCCACAAATGGTCATCATGGGGTGGATAAACTTCTTCTTCCAAGGCTTTGTCCTCAGCGAGTACCTCTGGTTATGATCGGGAGTAATACTGACATCGTTTCTAGTTAAGCTCCCCTTCCCGCTCACATTAGGTTTCAAGTCGATGCTGCAACGCGGTGTGGAGACTCCGGACATGGACGTACGATGGGTCTCGTCGCTTTCCTGGTATTTCCTGAATTTCTTTGGTTTGAACGGTCTCTATCGTCTCATCCTTGGAAACGATAATTGTGCGCAAGAGTTACATAATCTCTCTCTGAAGTCCAGACTCATTTTGACTTGACTAGCTGCTGATTCATCGCGTGACATGACCACATCATTTGCTGTTGGTGCTACCCCACAAGCCCCGCAAGCACAAGACTTTAACAAGCTCTTCAACGCAGACCGAGATAATCTAGCATTTGCAGAGGGCTTGTACAATTGGGTGGGTAAAGATATAGAGGGCCGAATTCTAAAGAAGTATGGTCGACTATAGCTACGGGAAGTTCAATTTGTGGTTCAGAGCATTCATCACAATAGTATACATTGTTGTCTATGTATGAGATGGAAGTACACCGTTCTTACAACTCCAACCCATGTGCCGTCCAATACAGCAAAATTCGAAGCGAGCCGAGGGGGGACCAATTAAACGTGTGTAATGGTTGACCCTAGTGGACCAGCCGGATAGATCTCTGAGAAATAACGTGCCACAATGTGTACGTCGACATTGTATGAACGATAGTCCCTGGGCGAATTGGACTACACAAGACCGTCGTATAATGATAATGCCTGAAAATAGGTGGTTATTGATCAAGACGGCATCGCAAAACAAGACGCTGAGACGTATACCTGTACAATCGTAGGATCTTGTTTACTTCCTTCAACAAATTCTTCGTAGGTCAGCTTGGCGTCTTTGTCGCGATCCATATTTCTGAAGATCTTGTCCACACGCTACATACTCGTACATCCAGCAAGGACGGAAATTTCAGCAAACAATGTACACACCTTCTCAGGTGTGTCTTCATCAACGGGCAACTTGACCATCTGACCCGTCATCTTATAGATTGACTGGACGATTTTGAGCATTTCTTGATATGTTATAAAACCATCTCCATCGATGTCATAGAGTTGGAATGCCCCTGCAATAAGGAATTATACGTAAGCCCGCTAGGCCAGCTCCACAGTATACATATATGCGATGCTGAGCTACTTACATTTGAGCTTTTCATCCAAGCGACCCCTGCTTGTTACGCTGAGCGCGCAGATGAACTCCTTGAAATCGATGGTACCGTTCTTGTTTTCATCGAAGACATTGAAGACATAGTCGGCAAACTCGCCGGGATCGCCAAAGGGAAAGAATTGCTTGTATATACGACCAAACTCGGTCTTGTCAAGCTGGCCAGAGGGGCAATCCTTGAGAAAGCCCTTGTACCTGTGGATGCAGATGGGTCCCGTTTCAGAGATTCAGAGAGGCGATATGCAAGAGGAAGAAGACCATTGTTGGAGCTCCCGCTTATCGACTGCATGTGTGTCGGTGATCTGGGCGCGGCCGTAAAACGAAAGAGGACGCACAGTACGTATGCTTCTGGAGGTCGGCAAGCTGTTCAGGTGATAACTTACTCTGCGACTTCCCCATGATGGTTGGTCCACTCTCAGCGCTAGGCTCGGTGGATGACGGCGTCGGGGGATTCAAGCGAATTTCACGCGCGTATGTCCTGAAAAGGCACAGCCGGCTAATGTGGCGAAAATTAATTAGACAATGATCCGTGCCTCTGCCTTGTGCACGATGCAGCCTCGAGGCTGGAGGGACATAAGAACGAAGCACAGCGAGCGAGAGCCTGCACAGAACCTTCACAACGTCGACCGCAGGCCAGCTTGACCCATCCCGCTTGGTTGCAGCCCAATGTCTCACTGCAGAGCCATGATCCGTCAGAGTGCACTTGATCAGCGACGTGAAAAGGAGCCGCATGCATATGCCTTCTTCGAGTTCTTTCTCAGCACAAACACCCTTGTCCTCCTCTTATAGCGCCCTCTTGCTCGGACCCGTCGCTGCTCTCTCGTCCTCTGCATGCCCGATTTCTTCTCATAATGTGCTATGCATACGGTTCTCTGGACCAGGCCACTGGCACATGCCCCATGTGCAAGGTTTTCAAGCCTGCCGCCAGGTACCTCGATTTCCCATATTGTCTGCAGCAATAGCGCCCAACTCTACATTCTAGGTGTCCACACATCAAGGATGTCTGCCGGAACAGAGCGTCCCATCCCAGACATGATGTCGTCTTCCTGAAGAATGCTGAGGGTGAGTCCTACTTGCCAGTGCCGGTGCCACACTAGTCTGATCTAGCTGGGACGATAGTGCAAACGTTTACTGGATGTGGCTTCTGCAAGGTATTGACACACCGATTCGAGATGATTCGAACGATGTTGACACCGTCGCAGTGGGCTGGCACGAACCCTCCCCCTAGGTGGACTGGCTACCAGAATCCGGGTTGGCCCGGCTGCTGTCGTCCCCCCAGACAAGACGAGCAAAGGCTCATAGGCGCGGCAGATTGGCCTGCTGTCAGCGTAGTTCATCACGTTCCGATCCCGACGGACATCAAAGCTCTTCTGGATACTATCACATCGAAAGGTAGCTCAGGGAGTCCGATGGGGAGCATTCGCATCACCAACGCTCAGTCCTCAGCTCCCTCGATGGTACGCAGAGCCAGCTACCAGGTAGCTAGTCCAACCAGGGTGGACGCCACCTCTGGTAGAACGCCCGCCGTGTCTATCCCTAGCAGAGGGCGATCCGGGGGGAGTCCTCAGCAAGGGACCATGCCGCTTTCCGGTAACTCGTCTCGAAACGCCAACGTAAACGCAGATGGGGCTGCATCGTCACTGCCAAGTCGATCCGCAATGGATCAATATCAAGCGGGGCGCCGCACCAACGACCATAGTGAACGGCGTTCAGAGTCAACCAATACGTCTCAGCACTCTCCTGGACACAGGAATGCTGATTTGGGTGGTTCACTATCCCGACGTAGCACCGAGCGACGGCCGTCCATATCAACGGCCGCTCCGTCCATGTCGGTTAGCAAAGTCACTGTTGATGTTCAGCCCCAACGTCGTCGTGCGCAAACCACCAACAACCCGAGCTCTCCCCCAGCTTCTGCATCTAACACACGAACGACGGAGCGTGCGAATACCTCTCCGGCTCAGCTACAGCGCCGTGGAAGCACGCTGGAGAAATCGCTGGCGTCAATGAGTATTTCTAGCGCTTCAAGCAGCAGCAGTGGGAGCAACTCGGAGACCACTGTGATCTCCGACGGAGGGTTCACAGATTACTTGTCAGATGAGTCCGAAGCGGAACTACAGCGACAGGCAGAGGTCAAAGCTGCACTACTCGCCCAGAATCACCTGGAGGAACAAGAATTTAGGGCAGCTCGTCAGCAACTTGCATCTATTGATCTTCGCCCTCCAAAGTCCTGGAACGGAAATATGAACAGTGCGTCCTCTCCTCATGGTCATTAATCTGAGTCACTCATCGGTATCATTGTGTCATTGGGCATTGTATGCTACAGGGCCAGTGGCGTCCGCTGCGTCGAGAGGCTAGGTGTATCGTCAAGACGGCAATTTAACGAAGACATGTGATGAATGAATTGGCGGGAAGCATAGCTACCATTAGTGTTTCAATAGACCTGCATTGATATCTGTGGTTGGGTGCATTCTTCATGCTGGGATCTATGCGTGTTGTATCTGAATTGTTAACTTGTACTACCTACCTCTTTCCACTGTAGTCGGGATTTTTTCCTTGCTCAATCATATACATCGAGCACTCACTGCTAACTTCGACCATTCTCTGCCAGGACCTGATGCACATGATACAGTATGTATTCTCTAAAATGGCCCGAGTAGTAATTTCTGCGCTCTGCCGCTGTCAGTTCTGAACCGGAATAAATTCGATAGTCGTGCGCGTCCGGTCCCCGATTGGCGCCCAGTCAAGAGCCGCGCGCGACGGGCCACTGCCAGAAGCCGCGGCCTCTCGCCTCTTGCTCCATGCCATGAATCTTGCCCGCCATTCTATCAGCTCTACCGCCCCAGTCCTCATCTTCGACGCACATTTTGATCCTGATTGTCGCATATTCACTGCTTCAACCCAGGCGGGCTTCGCAGTCTATCGTGCATGGCCTCTCCAATTGCTTCGGAAACGAGGTAGGTCCCCTTTCTACTCGGAACACTCAATGTTTTGATATTGTGGTCAGAGATTACTGGCGGAACACTTTCCGCTGTCATACCTCTACACACTTCATCCCTCCTGTTTCTGATTGGAGGAGGTCGTAGTCCGCGGTACCCACCGAACAAGGTCATTCTATGGGATGATGCTCGAGGACGTGAAGTTGCCGAGTTAGAATTCAGGGAGCGGGTACGAGGTCTTGCATGCAGAAGGGGATGGCTTGTAGTTGCTTTGCGCCGGCGAGTTGTTGTTTTTCAGATTGGGGAAGTTGTCACCAGGTTTGGGGAATGGGATACATGTGATAATCCAAGAGGTGAGGAAAGCATTTGTGTCGGTTGCTCCTTCGTGATCTTACACTTGCCAGGATTGGTCGCGATTGCCACCGCCACACATGCTACGTTACTTGCGATACCCGGTCGCCAAATGGGCCATGTGCAGTTGATTCACTTGCCCCCATGTCCCCCACCTGAGCTTACGGGCCCCCCACCACCCACGCCTCCGGAACTCCCACCATTACCGCCGACAAAACACCCAGCATCTATTATCATTGCACACCAGACTGCTTTGAGCGCAATTTCCGTGCCTCCTTCGGGTCACCTCGTGGCTACAACTTCTGAGCAAGGAACATTAATTCGCATATGGAATTCCAATACAGGCGTACGCGTCAGGGAATTCCGGAGGGGTACAGATAAAGCAGAAATCTACGGCGTGGCCTTTCGACCGGATGAGCGGGAGGTTTGTGTCTGGAGCGATAAAGGTACAGTGCACGTCTTCTCTCTCGCTGAGGCATCTGGGTCATCGTACGTATCAACCTTTCGTCCATTATATCATTGATCATACTCATCACGATGTACAGAAATCGACGGTCAACCTTCTCACCGTTGAAGCCATTCATGAATCTCCCTGGTTATTTGAACTCGGAATGGTCATATGCGCAATTCCGCATGCCTTCTCAGTTAGCTCACATATCCCTCTCGACGCCTCCTTCGAAACCACCGACTGCCGATGTGATTGATGAGGCGAAGTGTATTGTAGGATGGATTCAGGTGCCCTCGGAAGATCAGGACAATGGAACAGCCATGGAATACCAGCTCATTGCGTTGACATACACAGGAGGTTGGTATCGTCTCTCGCTGCCCAGACCAGGTGCATCTTCAACGGTATCGACGACTTCTACGAGTCCGCACGCGGCGCTGTCTACTTCGCCGCCGCGATCGCTGCCCCCAAGTGTCAAAGCGATCTCAAAGGCGCGCCCACGATCGTCCAGTAATTCGTCTTTCGCCGGGCGTTCTGACAAGGGCAAGGGGCGCGAACATGACAAGGAAGGGAAGGAGAGCCACGAATGCATATTAAGGGAATATAGGCGGTTTGGTCGGTGGGATGGTTGGGGATAGAATCGAGGATGCATGGACTAGTCTCGGCGGATAGGTTTCCATTGATAGTTGCTTTGCTTGTCAGCCCTCATACACATGCCTTGTAACAACAACATATATTGCATAATCCTACACTACTGTATCCATACATTACTTTGTGCATTCCGTGCGCGTTTGAATCTGGCTTAATCCTGGTTACCACTGCTCGGCCTAGTACCGCAATGATCGATTCCAGATCGGTGTGCGCCTGTGTACGCGCGTTTGACTCAGCGGTTCTAAGTCACCAGTTGTGCTTCAAGCATTACGTGATTCCTTTCTTAACTAATAGCTTTCGTCGGCATAGTATCTATCGCCTATCATGAGCCAAGCCCCCATAATTTCCATTCTATCCCCTCTATTGCCTCATAATTCGACCTGTGGGTACTGCGGGCCTCCAGGCGGCAGAAGTGAAGCAAAAACCAACTGTCATTATGCAGAATGCATACCCTACCAAATGTCGTGCGAGGTAAGAACACGCTAAACTATTGTTACTCCGGAATAGAGGAAGATAAACACCCGTGAAATCCGCAGGCATACCAGCGGATGATCGACCATGGTTGGAGACGGTCTGGAACCTATTGCTACAAGCCTGACTTGAAGAAATCATGTTGTCCAGCATATACAATAAAGTTCGTCCATCTACTGTACTTGGAACCATCAACACACAAGGATCAGCATATCTAGGCTTGACGTACTGCAATTCAAACCCTCGAAGAGCCAAAGAAAGCTGGTCAATCGGTGTGACCACTTGATGCTATGTATTCGTCGACTTTTCTCACCTTGATGCTTATAAGCTGGAATCGATTCATTCTGTATGGAGACGACGTCGATGACAAAGACGTTCGGAAGTTCGTACAGTGCAGCTGCGGTTAAGGCATGCCTCACTATCCTCTCAGGGTACTCAAATCTTCAAAGACGGCTTCATTCTCGTTAGTGGAGGAAATTCATGCATCAGAGCATGAATTTCTCCCCAGTGGTTTCGCCGCACAACACAAATTCCAGGTGAGTGTTTGTATAGTGATGAGCTTGAGGTGCTCCGTATGCTGATGTCGCTGTCTGCAGGTGTCGTTGGAGCCATCTTCTTTTACCGATGAGAAGTTTGCGCTATACGAAAGTTATCAGCGACAAATACACCTTGACGAAGATAACACACGTCACGGCTTCAAGAGGTTTCTGGTTGAGACGCCTCTGCATGTCAGTGCAGATGCTTGTACTTTGATCGGACCCTGACCTAGGGTATCTAGCGTGAAGCCATCAAGTATGCGAGGATCCGCCCTGTTCATCTGCCTCTCGAATATGGTTCATACCACCAGATGTATCGGCTCGATGGAGAGCTGATCGCAATGGGAGTCATTGATATACTACCTGAATGTGTCTCCAGTGTTTATTTCATGTACGAGAAGAAATGGGAGAGGTTTTCGTTGGGCAAGGTACTGTTGATTAGCTCCAACTAGCCCTATTAGCTAACACTGGATGCTTCAATCGGTAGCTGAGTGCTTTCAGGGAATCCGCACTCGCGAACGAAATGCACAAAGCCGGAGTTGTCAATGTTAAATCCTTATATATGGGTATGGTTGTGACAGTCATTTCATTCAAATTTTAAGCATCAGCGCTGGATTACTCAGGCTTCTACATTCATTCCTGCCAAAAGATGCGCTACAAAGGCGAATACTTACCTTCCTATCTGCTCGACCCGGAAGAATATACATGGTTTCATCTCGATAAGTGCCGCCCTCTCCTTAACCGGTATAGATACGTTAGCTTTGCACATCCGGAGCACGGGCTTGATGGATTACCTATGATCACCGAAGGTGAGTGACAATCAACATATCGCGCTGTGCCATAACAGGTCGTCTCGGTGAAGCAGATGATACCGGCAACGATCATTCTCCAGATCTCAGTGGTGTCCGATCATTGGTTGGAATTCACAACCGGCAGGCAATTACTGCCCCCATAACGGTGAGCGGAGAGTTGGCATAGTTGCGATCCTACTTTGACAATATTGGATATCTTGTAGATGTCCGTGGAATGGCGAAACAAAAATACCAGACGTGCGATCACTACGCTTGTGGACGGACTAGGTCCACAGTTGGCTAATGACGTATTACTATACTTCGAACACGAGTTGTAATCTCTCGTTGAGTATACATAAAGCTTTTACGTATGAGCTGCATATCACAGACTGTAGAGAATTTAGGAATGAAACTGTAAAAGGAGCAGTTGTTCATAAAGATGTACCTATCTTTCCCCCAGGCCTGGTCTTACATTACCTTTAGAGACAGATATCAATGAAGGCGACAAATTTTGATGGTCTGAGAATGCATGACGCATCCTTCAATTGATGATCGACCGGAACTGGTCAGTCAAAGCCGTTAGAGGCCTTCGTCATTAATCACGGTGGTATTTAATAGACAATGGAATCCAGTATGCCTGCTGGGTGAGGCAAGGGGTATTCCGTTGGGGTAGACGAGGAATATGAAAGCACGAACATAACAGGACTTATTAACGCATGCATGCCCTCGTTCACCTGGCAATGATATACAATACCAGCGGGAGTCGCCACAACATGAGCCATTTCGATCTCGTTTTACTACTCTGATGTTTGTATGCTTCCTCTCATCGAAAGCGTGCAATAAATTTATCAAAATGATACAGTCGCTTTAGTTTGAACTATACGCCCAAGGACTTTGGATGAACGAAGACGAATGTCGCAGATAAACAGCATTGGATGATCAAAATGAATGGGCTAGTAAGCCTTGCTCAACACAGAACCTGCATATATCTTACGTGACTCCTCCCGAGAAAATCCTCACAGCGGGCATTATTTCCTCGTCCATGGCACCGCGCGCTTTCCGAATATCCATGGTGGTCAGTATGGCAGTAGTATCAATAGTATCCACAACCATACCATATATACTCGTCCAGTCGGCGAAAATGTTGTGGGCTCATTGAGAGGTAGTTCATGAATCTTTCCCAACAACGGGATGGAGAATAGGCCTGAAGAGAGCACGAAAAATCAGAACATAAATCAAGAACTGGGGAATGACATAAGCAATGGCGAGACTGCCAACACAGCGAGTAATCGCATTCAAAGGACATTGCTGGAGGCGCGTGCCCGATAGTGCTTTGCTTGTTGTCATCTTGCGCCTTGTACACTGGCGGTAAATTGAATCATTATCTTCTAACTTTTGCAACCAGAATACTGGTAGAGCTGGATTACAGGCTAGGTCGCCTCGCAATATAACTCTCCATGTGTGTGAAGGTGAGAGGAGTTTGGAGTGTAGGTTACACCTCAATGTTTTGATATCAATGGGACCCAAGAAGACAGAAACACCAAGTATCTCCTATGCAATATAATGTGGTAGTCACTTGTCTTCCTGGCTGTACTGGATAAAATCCCTTCGTACATGCAGGGTATGATGTCGTGACTCGTTAGAGTATGAAGTCTCTCTCCAAAGTGAACTTGATTCAAATCACAGACGCACGGGAAGGCGGTAAACTTTTTAAGGCATTTGCGGCCCCCGCGCAGCACGGTCTTTGGGTTAAACGAAATACGAACATGTATTTAGAATTTTCTGGTGGAGCGAGCAGCACGCAGAGGCCCACTTACAGTCTTGTCTGATGCACGAGCACCCAACTATATGACGAAAATATTCGAAATCTATAGGTTATTCATAAGCAAACGGTCAATACTGGGTCTTACAACGATCAAATTTTCTTCCTCCAACTTCTCTTAAACCTTTGTCGTTCTTTGAATGTTCAAAGTTACGAACCTGAGATAGAGTCAAATTTTCAGTATAACATATAGAGGCACTCGCTATCTAGCTGCACCGTGACATCGTGAGCGGGTCGCACTGAGTTCGCCTGAGCATACGGGTTACCCCAACCTTGCTGCCAACAGTGGCACGCTGATCATCGTGGGCGCCTATCACTCTGTGACGAGTCTTGTGCACACGCACAATGTTACGCACTCTCAAATACCTTCGCAGCTCATGCGGTGAATTCATGAAGGCGCATCAAACACTGAGGCGCACATTACAGTCACTTCTGTGGTTGCCTTTGGGTATTACTTTTGTCGAGTACTTCTACACTTTGAAGTCAATTAGAGGAAGGAGCATGCAGGTCATGACAGAGCCTCTTCTTTGTCAATTCACCGGCTGACGATACAGTTAGCTAGCCGACGCTCAATCCAGACTCTTCGTCATGGCGAGACGTTGTTCTGTTTGACCGCTTCGCAATACGAATTTTACGGAAATATGAGAGGGGAGACATAGTTGCATTACAGTACGTTCCACTCATATTATGAGTTGATTTATAAAACTGGTTTGTGGCTCCATCTAGATCTCCAACAGACTCGAAGCTGGTAGTCAAGAGGATAGTCGCTTTGCAAGGGGACATGGTACGCTTCGAATCCGCTCCGATCACCGAGCTTCCGGTTCAGATAGAATGAACAGGTCAAGACGTTGCCACCTTATCCCGATGTAGAAATTCGCGTCCCTCAAGGTCACGCCTGGGTGGAAGGTACGCAATGCTTTTCTAGTTATCAACATACATTTGGAATCTCACTGGGTCCACGTAGGCGACGAGGCTTTCCATTCAGAGGATAGCAATACATTCGGACCGGTAGGTGGCATACACTATGCTCATGCATTGTCAGCTCAATCCGACGTAGGTGCCACTTGCACTGATCGAATCCAAGCTATCCTTCGTTGTCTGGCCGCTTGCGCGGTACGGTCCAATTAGAAAACCGTCTTCGCCGAACCCAAATGATCCCAGAGACCCTGCATGGCGGATAAAGAAAGCTGCAGTAGAGAGAGAGCAATGGAGGAACTCTCGCATTACCATAGCGCAGTGAGGATTTTTTTAAGCTAGACATCAAAGCGCCACGTTATTGACCTCACACTCTAACTGATTCTGAGTATATCGCATATTGTCCGTGACCCAGTGTCTATGAGTACAATCAATTTGCTGTTACTATGGTAAGAAATGCCAGAGGAACAGGCGAGAAACAGATGAGACAAGCCGAATGTGAAATGAGAAAGGTCAAAGGTTGACTACATAGCATGAGCCTGCCCTGCGCAATAGCCAACCTCCCAAATTAGTGATCAGTATGGAACTCTGGTGAGTCATGATGCTGATACTGGGCGTATTGTGGATCGAGGGGAACGGCGCTCTGCGACCCGCCATAAACACTATATGGATTACCCATTGCACGCGTCGGCTCGGTTCTGGCAAATGGTGCAGCGCTACTCGTAAGATGAGCCGTACTTCCATAGTCCTCCTCGTAAACGCCTTGCTCCTCAGGCAAAGTGCCGACAGACTGCGTATATTGATGTTGGGATGGGTATGGTTGATTGTAGGCTGGCATTGGTGGGAAGTCTGCCGGGTTGTAATCGGGATTGAACTGGTTGGCCCCACTCGGCTCGTAGTAGTAGTCGTTTTGCGTGCTATAGATACTCGCTTGCGGCCCACGCGTGCGCATGGACGCTTTATCGTCTTCATCATCGAGAGAAACATTCGGCAGAGTCGGCTGCGGGAGAGGCTTAGCGATGAATTCACCCTTCTTGTTCTTCAGGTGAGAGAAGTCTCCAGCCGCTTCCTTCTTGGCGAGAGCGGCAGCTTTCGCCAATCGCTGCTTATTCCTCCGTTTGATGATCTCCGCGATACGCTTTCAATTGAATTATATGATGATGAGTATCGGTTACGCGAACATCCCATAAAAATATTACCTTGTCGACCTTATAGCAGCAATATTCCTAGTCAAATAAATCTATGAGCATCGTACCAAGATGACAAAATTTAACCGACCTTCAGGTTTCCTTGGATGTAACACAGCAGTGGAACATAGCATATGGCAGCAGCAATAAGCATGAGCAAGGATAGGGCGAAGATAAGCGTAGTGAAAGCGGTCGAGATTGTAAGAGCCGTTGTGATATAGTCGTTACCGGCGAAGTACTTTCTCAAATCGTACCATTCACCTTGACTCTCGCGCGACAGATAGAGCGCATATAGAGTGAGTGCATTAATTGACTGGCGTGGTCCTTCGGCAAAGACTAGTCGCTTCCAACCTATACAATGGTTTTACCGAGGATACTGAATATACAAAGCGATCTCGCACACCTTTGAACGTGAAGAAGACGAAAAAGGCGAAGTCGTCCATTTTCTTCGTAGAGCTTGAAATATGGCAGAAGAAACAAAAATGATCGTACGACCCTGCACCAAAAGTAAGTTAAACCAATCTATTGAGCTCATGGAAGGTGCTTACGAAGGGAGTAGTAGTGGTTTGCTAAAACATTGGTGAACGCATAAGATATATCACGGCTGGCGATGATCTTCTTCGCCTTGTGCATCTCGTACGCCAGCTGCAAGAGGTCAGGTTCTGGCATTTGTGGAGGAAGTGGGTGGACACTGACAAGTAAAAATGATGCAATGATACATCCAAAGAAGAGCCACTTTCCGATGCTGAACGGGATGTAGACACAGCCGTTTCCGGCACCTTGTGTACAGTCGTTGTAAATCTGATTTGACCACGTCTTGGACGTTAACATAGTCACCGCGGTGAAAATGTCGGAGACATAGACAAGAAATGAAATGAGGACGGTGATATATAGCCATAGATACCTGTGAATACGCATTAATACGCTGCACGAGCCAACGGCACTCAACAAGCTGAAGCAAACTAGCAGGCCAAGCGCGACACCACGAAGCTTCGCAGCAAAGTCATGCAAGGTTCCTGTAAAGCTTGAACGGGATTCACTTACTTCATGCGCATTCCGCATGAATGGTCGGTGAAGTCCCGGGTATCGACGAAATCGAACTGACAGATTTAGGGTAAACAGACAAACACCAGTATGTATAATACCGTACAGACCTTATGGTCCGGGACGACTTCTCGCTTCCAAGTACTGCCTCCACACATCCTGAGAGAAAGAGCGTGACGAACGGGGATCCGTGTTGGTTACTGAGGGAATGGGTAGCGACGAGGGGAGCTGCGTGACAGAGCAGCGTCCGGGCCAGCCAGTCGCTATAGAGAGCAAAGAGCGGCTGGAGAGAAGGGATGGTACGGCGTAATGGAGGGAGAGGAAGGAGTGCAAGTTCACAACAGTCTGCCGACGCCAGTTGCTACAGTTGCTAGCCGCCCAGCATCGCCTGGCGGCTCGCTTTGCCTTTTCAGGACACAAAAGCTTCGTACAACAGCCACCATGACCACTGTACAGAAAATAAAGGTAAGGGCTTTGACAAAAAGGTCCATTCGATCTAACGGGGGGAAAGGAAATCGAAGATGAGATGGTGAGCACGCCAGCGTAGCTTGCTGAGCTCAATCTAACATGCATCCCTAGGCTAAAAGTATGTGTCTACAACCCGACTGTGGCAGGATCTGCTCTCTGAGATATTTGCTTCTAGCCCAAAAGAATAAGGCCACAAGCTATCATTTAGGGCAGCTAAAAGCCAAACTTGCCAAACTCAGACGTGAACTACTAGGGCCACAAGGTGGAGGCGGTGGAGGTGGTGGGATCGGATTCGATGTCGCTCGGACTGGTATCGCTTCAGTTGGCTTTGTGGGCTTCCCTTCAGTTGGAAAGGTGCGCACAGTGAACGGAAGCGCGCGCCACTTAATTGAGCCTTGGGCTATAGTCGACATTGATGTCTAAACTCACTGGCACACATTCTGAGACCTCGGAAATCGATTTCACAACTCTTACGACTGTCCCGGGTACCCTCAAGGTTCACGGCGCCCCCATACAGATTTTAGATCTACGTGAGTGGTACGGTATCGCATTTGTATGGTGCTGTGATTTTTTTTTCAGCTGGTATCATTGAGGGAGCGAATGATGGTCGAGGCAGAGGTCGACAAGGTATCTCGCACTCAATTCGTATCTATTCCTGTTTCCTGATTTTATTTCAGTCATTGCCGGTATGCGCATTTGTCTGTCTTGGACCAGCGTCGACTTCAATGATCCTCCCCAGTCGCCCGAACATGTAACTTAATTTTCATCGTGCTTGACGTGCTTAAACCTCTCGGTGACAAGACAATCATTGAGTCCGAACTTGAGGCATTTGGTATCAGATTAAACAAGAAACCTCCAGCAATTATGGTGAAGAAGAAAGAAAAGGGTGGAATTGCCATCACAAATACGGTACCGCTGACGAATATCGATCAAGATGAAATCAAGGCGATACTGAGCGAATACAAGATGAGCAATGCGGACGTTGCAATACGTCAAGCGAATGCTACCGCTGACGACCTTGTCGATGTCATTGAGGGCAATAGGTCGGTCTTATCAGCTGCCAATGTGTCCATTCCCCACGCTGACACATCTGATAGGGTATACATACCCGCCATTTATGTGAGTGCAATCAATCCTGCGATTTGGTATGTTTGCTTAGATATTGGATGGCCTTTTTTGCAGGTTCTAAACAAGGTTTGGAAAAATTTCCTCATTTTTTGGATAACTGCTAACAAGCAGCAGATTGACGCAATCTCCATTGAAGAACTCGATTTGTTGTACAAAATCCCTAACAGTGTACCCATTTCTTCGCGAGAATGGCTCAACATTGATGAATTGATGGAGATCATGTGGCGAAGACTTGACTTGGTTCGCGTGTACACAAAGCCAAGAGGAGCACCACCCGACTACAGTGCTCCCGTCGTATTACGGCGCGGGAAATCTGCGGTCGAGGACTTCTGTAATGCAATTCATAAAGAGATTGCGAAGCAAATGAAATAGTAAGTCGGTAAATTGTCGTCCGCGAGGGAGCAATGAATGTATCTTTTTCAGCGCGGTTGTTTGGGGAGCAAGCGCGAAGCACGCGAGAGGTCAAAAAGTCGGACTAGAACATGTGCTTGAAGACGAGGACGGTAAGATCTCATATGATACATCAGGGCGTTGCATCTTATCTCCGTATTTTTAGTCGTACACATATCAAAGAAATAAGGGTAGTAAACATTGATCATCATGTTGTCTGCACAAGTATGATGTAGTTCAGCACCACACTTATCAGAGGGATCGATCGCATTATATCGATTGCAATGTAGAATTATCAGGACCACTGTCCGTAACGACCGATTGATATGAACAGCACGACACTGGGTAAGGAAGGAAAGGGAATAATGATAGTTCGAGATGAGACACGGCGAACGGACAAGATGACAGAGTGGTGCATGGAGCAGCGCATTAGAGAGCTGTTGATGTTGGTAAATACTGAATGTAGATAGCTATCAAAAGTCTTCATCTAGAGAACTGGGGAGCGCATAAGTAAATCGCGCACTTGTTCGAGTAAATGGATCAACGTACAATACTCTGGTGGTATGTGTACTCTCCGTGAGAGTATTCGTCCCATTGGCAGATGAATGTAGTCCAGCCATCGCGTACTCAGAGACCCGTTTTTCAAAGAAATTAGTCTTGCCTTGCAGCGATATCATATCCATAAAGTCAAAAGGATTCGTGGAATGATAATAGTTCTTATTTCCCAGTGTCGTGAGGAGCCTGTCGGCGACGAACTCAATGTACTGGCACATCAATCGCACATTCATGCCTATCAGGGCACACGGGAGAGCCTCTAAGTAGTTTCATCGGCGCATGGAAGAGCTGTGGATAGTGATAACATGCATTACCTGTCAAGAACTCCTGTTCAATTATCACTGCTTCTGTGATAATCGCCAGAATGACGGAGGGATGTAGGCGTCTTCGCAGATGGTGATAAAGCAAACAGGCGAAATCAGTGTGCATGCCCTCGTCGCGTATGATCAGTTCGTTTGAATACGTAAGACCAGGCATAAGCCCACGCTTCTTGAGCCAGAATATGGATGCGAAAGACCCCGAGAAGAATATACCTTCGACAGCAGCAAAAGCGACCAGACGTTCTGCAAAGGAAGACTGCTTATCGGCGATCCAGCGTAACGCCCAATCCGCCTTCTTCTTGATACAAGGTATAGTCTCGATAGCGTCGAAGAGATGCGCTCGTTGCTTCTGGTCCTTGATATATGTATCGAGGAGTAGAGAATACGTTTCCGAGTGGATGTTCTCTATCATGATCTGGAAACCGTAGAAACAGCGAGCTTCGGCGACCTGTACTTCGTTCGAAAATCGATCGACAAGATTCTCGTTCACGATACCGTCGGAAGCCGCGAAGAAGGCGAGTACATGCGAGATAAAGTATTTTTCATCATCATTTAAGCGGTCCTTCCAGTCCCAGAGATCGTGTGAGAGGTCAATCTCTTCGGCAGTCCAAAAAGATGCCTCTGCTTTCTTGTACATCTGCCAAATCTACGCCTGAAGTATAAGAATAAAGCGTTCATCGTATAATGATGTCGAACGTACGTCATGGTATTGAATAGGAAAGAGAACAAAGCGGCGCTTAGATTCCGTTAACAACGGTTCGAGATCTAAGTACGATTGTTTAAAACGCGTCTCGAAATTCGCTTGATGGTCTTACATTCAGGTAGATCTACTTCGCCAATGAAGCGGGGAGGCTTCCCTACGTCTTTCTTGTCAACATCTGAGTGATGCTCCGACAAAGCTTCTACCCCTGTAGTGAACGGAAGTAGATTGGGAGGATCAAAATATTCAGATAATAAGGCGTGCCCCATAAGACGATACGAGTTATAAGATTGTAATTTACTCGCAGGATCAGGGGGGTCGGTAGGATCCGTGGACGGTGGAGGCTCAGCGCTGAGCGCTCAGGCAACGCTCAGGTAATGAAAACGAACGCGTCGTATCACGTGATACGCGAGACTTCCGCATTCGGCTGTAGGTTCTGACCAGATCCACAGCTGCGGTCACGTGTATGCAGAATTGCTTAGGCGAAGGCGGCCGCGACGCGCTTACGCGCCTACGCGTGATGTTTACACGCGACGCGACGCGTCGCGTTTGTTGACCAACCAAAACAACGCGCCAACAAGTTCAACCATATAAAGGCGCGCTGTATTTTGCCGTTCTTTCGACATCGCTCTTGCAGATCTTTGTGTTTACCCCTCTCTTCTTATATACAATGTCTTTCGTTGGCATAAGCACCCCTCCTCGTGTCGCGTCACCCACTCCTATTCCGAGCAAAAGAGTATGTTGATCACTGTGGGTCCTGCTAGTTATGAGACTTACTGGTTGTTCATCCAGGCTGCTGCTGCCTTCAATCCCATGTCACCCTCGACAACAAAAGCTGGGAGGAAGACCCAGTCTGACCTCAACGATGAGCGACTATCGAAGGGGCCTAAATCTTTGATCGAGGAAGAGTCGCGAGAGATAGATTTAGATGCCCTTCGCAAGCGTTGGGTTGGAGAGGTAGACTTGCCGGAACGTATGTATTTTGGCTAGTGTGAGGCCCGTTGAGTGATACTCAACGCTTCATTGCAGACATGGAGCCGCTTTTGATGGAGTCTAAGCGCCGGTTTGTCCTTTTTCCTATTCAGTATCATGAGGTTAGTCTTTCGATATCGTGTATTAATACATATCTAATCAAATTTCCCTTGCAGATCTGGCAAATGTACAAGAAAGCCGAAGCTTCTTTCTGGACAGTTGAGGAAGTCGACTTGTCGAAAGACTTTCACGATTGGAACAACCGTTTGAGCGACAACGAGCGTCATTTCATTTCGCACGTCCTTGCTTTTTTCGCCGCCTCTGATGGGATTGTTAATGAGAACCTTGTCGAGCGTTTTTCCAACGAAGTCCAAGCTGCGGAAGCGCGGTGTTTCTATGGTTTCCAGATCATGATGGAGAACATTCATTCCGAAACATACTCTCTGCTCATTGACACCTATATCAAGGATCCCCAACAGCGGGAACACCTCTTCGATGCTATCGAGACAATTCCTTGCATCAAGAAGAAGGCTGATTGGGCGCTGCGCTGGATTTCTGACAAGGGATGTTCATTCGCGGAGCGTCTGGTTGCCTTTGCTGCAGTCGAAGGGATCTTCTTTTCCGGCTCGTTCGCCTCGATATTCTGGTTGAAGAAGCGTGGTCTTATGCCCGGCTTGACGTTCTCGAACGAACTCATTAGCCGCGATGAGGGCATGCACACTGACTTCGCCTGCCTATTGTTCAGCCATCTCAAGAGACGACCACACCCAGAGGTTGTTAGGAGGATTATTGCGGAGGCTGTTGAAATTGAGCAGGAATTCCTCACAGGTATTTAGTTATCTCTTTCGTTTGTCATTTGATTGACATCACCCCATATTAGATGCGCTGCCCTGCGCGCTGATCGGCATGAACTCGGGACTAATGTGTCAATACATCGAGTTCGTGGCGGATCGCCTGCTCGTTGCTTTGGGCGACTCGAAAATGTATGGCTCGACAAATCCCTTCGATTTCATGGACATGATTTCGCTTCAAGGGAAGACTAATTTCTTCGAGAAGCGGGTCTCTGATTATGCTAAAGCGGGGGTCAATGCATCGGCAACCAACGTGAAGTCGGAAGTGTCTGCAAAGAGCTTGTGAGTTGAATGCTCTGGCGTTGTTGTTCTTGGCGCTCATTATTTTGCCCAGTTCACTCGACGAGGACTTTTAAATGAACTCTCATGACTATCTTATTCATTACATCCTATTCTCGTTGATCATGCTGCATCTGCCTCTGTCACTGTCACCGTTTATTTAGAAGTGTCATCCATAGCAATAGTGATATCTCTGTACCTTCCAACTGTACTCTTAGACGTAATGCAATCTATTATAGCATTGGCATGCTGAATGAGTTTTGTGCAACTAAAGGGAAGAAGGTTTTAGGAGGTAGCCAGCCTTTATTAGTAAGGGAGGGTATCTATATCTAAAATACTTATCATTGTTGTAAGTTATCTAGCATGAGAATATTTGGTGATGATTTAAGGGTACTCCATATGGTAAGTTACATGCAGTATTACTACTGAGGAATAATCATTGACCAGACCAGTAGGAAGTTTTTGACTTGGTGCAGAACTGCAGCAATAAAATGTCAAGCTCTGAAAGGAATATACTCCACATGAGATGTTGGGGGTAGCGATGAGAAAAACCATTGGTACTTCGTCGCAGATCGTACACAGGCTCACCGCATGCGATTCATCGAAGATGCTGTCGTGATACCGTGATGAGAATTAGCGGTTTTTCTTGGACTCTGCAGGACCCCGTGCTGTTGTCCCGAGTCGCTCTTCACGTATGGACACGATGATGTACCCAATTAAGACGGCATTGGCAGCAATAATAGCCGTAATGGCAGCAAAAACGGTATTGCCTGGAATATAATATAGAGTCAAAAGAGTCCTGAACATGGACATGGAGATACGGACCGTCCCAGAGGTAGTCTTTGGAGAGAAAGTACGACGCGATGGGGGCAATTGCTAGAAGAGCGGCGAATACGAGGAGTTTTGCAAAAATTCCCCTAGAATGGGACTTGAGTGGGTGAGCCATGAGCCCTAAGAAATCAGCGAACGCACCCCTGCTCTACTGCCTGTGCCGCCGATGCTCCAACTTTGGTTTGTTCGCTCATCTTTATTTAATTTGTGCTCGCCCGTTCTTCAGGCAGTGATATTATCTGAGTGTGTTAACCGAAGACGAGAGAAGAGTGGCAGACGCCAGTAGCAGCGAAAAGCCACTGGTGTAACGTCATCGACAACTGACCGCGATCGAGCGCATCAAATCCCCGCGCGCAGAGTCGGACTGCTGCATCTTGTGTATTCCCTTCCTCCTTGTTCAAGCCCCTCTGTTTGGCACTCTCCGTAGCAGCCGTAATATTTTGCGATAGCTGAGACTTCGCGCGGCATCCAGGGAAGTTCAAAGAAGGGCGTTGGAACTCGTGAAGGCGACTGTCGGGATGCAACACGCACGGGTTACAGCACCTTCTTCCCCCTCCCTTCGCCTGTTTCCCGAATACGAGACAACACATCCAGAATCTATCCCTGAGCAGCAGGATGACAAGTCGGAACCAAAATCATCGGGGTGGATATCATGGAGTCTCATGGACACCGCTGAGCTGGACATCTTTCTTGCGTCGACCTGTCTCAAATTGCTCTTGTTCTCTGCATAGTATGTGACGCATGCCGGTGGGTTAAGTTGCGGTACTTACTAGGCTCATGCGTTGTTTAGTCGATCTACAGATTTCGAAGTTCATCGGAACTGGCTCGCTATAACGCATTCCCTTCCAATATCGAAGTGGTATTATGATGTATGTCTACGCGTTTCCGCCGAAACTGTGTTTCTCATTAGGTACCCACATTCAGACAACATCCGAGTGGAGTATGGGCAATATATCTCCCATTTCTGCACCTGAGACTCATCATTGAATACATGTAGCTCTGGACTATCCACCCTTCTTCGCCTATTTTGAAAAGATCATGTCCATTCCTGCATACTTTATCGATCCGCGCATTGTTGATCTGAACAATCTCAACTACAATGCGTGGTCCGTCGTTGCATATCAACGGTCTACTGTAATCATGACAGAGCTTGTCCTGGGAGCAGCCCTTCTCAGGTAATGTGTCTTGGTGTTTGTTCAGATCTCGTAGAGTGCTGATAGTGAACAGATTCATACGAGGAGCGGTCGACCCGTCGGCTCAGCGCATTATATCAGCGTCTTTATTCCTTCATCCTGGATTTCTCATAGTCGACCACCTGCATTTCCAGTACAATGGTTTCATGTTTGGGATCCTTCTGTGGTCTATCCTAATGGCCCGTAATGTATGCGTGGACAACGTACCTCCGACGGATTGACCAGCTGACATTCTCGCATTATCTTAGGACAACAAGTTGGCTAGCGGCTTCCTCTTTGCAGTCCTTCTCAACTTCAAACACATATATATGTATCTCGCAGTATGTGCACAATCATGATTTCAGAGACGTGGCGCTGAAAACCCACGGCTCATAGCCAGCTTACTTTATTTACCTTCTACGTTCATTTTGCCTCTCGCCTTCGGGCGCCTTACTTCCGGCACGTTTCATCTCTCTAGCGAATGCTGTGATTCTCGTCTTCTTGGTGTCGCTTGGCCCATTTCTGCTGATGGGCCAATTACCTCAATTGCTCAGCAGGTTGTTTCCCTTCACCCGTGGGCTAAACCATGCCTACTGGGCGCCGAACTTCTGGGCTTTGGTCACCGCCTCAGATAGGGTGCTCTTAAAATGTAATCATCTGCCCAGACTTAGATTTCGGCACTAATTCATATGCAAACTAGTTGTCAAAGGCGGTCGAATGCCGGCGCTGGCTGTCAATATGTCTGGCGTCGCTTCTACTTCTCGTGGACTGGTCGGTGATACCATCTTCGCTATATTGCCTAATGTAAAACCTATACACACATTTATCATCACCATTGTGTTCCAAGTTGTCAGTCCAATATCCTTCAAAGCGCAGAATCATTTGCTGATTCCATCTTTTCCAGATTTACTTGGTGAAATTGTGGAAGACGCCGACGTACAAGTCGTTCCTGACCGCCTTAACGTTGTGCGGATACACGTCATTCATGTTTGGCTGGCATGTCCATGAGAAAGCAGTCTTACTTGTGCTCGTACCATTTAGGTGTGTCCTAGATGCCCTTACCAACACTACCATCTCGTTAAAATCTGGCTTTTGCATGTTCAAGTCTACTGGCAGCTGAGAACCATGCATACTTCCGCACGTTCATGATTGCTTCATTTGCGGGGATATTTTCTTTATTTCCATTGCTCTTCACGCCAATGGGTCAGTATTGTACATTCATGCTATAATTTGGCTTATAACTTCCACAGAGACACTGATTAAAGTAGCGTACTCTACCATCTGGGCTATCCTAACCTTCACGCCTTTGCATCAGCGAGTGTACGAGTGGGTATTCTCCGTCAGATTTATTCGCCGTTGTGTCTTACGCGCGAACATTAATTTAGATTTCCCCGTTCATTGCCATTCGTGATCATCGACAGCCTCGAGAAGCTCTACGTGGCAGGCTTCGTGCTCCTTCAGTTATGTGTCTCGCTTTTCCCCGTCTTCGATGGTCAACAATCAGAAGCACTAAAATTCTTACCATTGATGTTGACGAGCGTGTACTGTGCTACTGGTCTGGTCTGGGCATTTGTACGGTTGTCGGTAATCTACTTGAAGCAGCAATACTAACTGTGTCTGGACTGTGCTCGATACCATTTTTGGCTTTGTGACTGGACACCCACGTAGCAGGAATGCTATGCCGGACTGTACGTAGATGAGAATTACATGAAATGGGGTAAAATCGACTTTTTTATGTAGTGGGATGTACGTCACAAACTATGGCAAGCATCGGTGAGAAGGCTCGCCGCCCGCCTCAAACAAGGACAATCAGAATGAATATCCCACAAGATATAGGTAGAGTCTCCGCACGAGGTGTGTCAGATGTTGACGGTCTCGAGGAGGCATAGAGTAGTAAACTTGTGGTCGACGAATTGAGGCCGGAGAACAAGATTCACATTCTCTTATACTCAGGTCGCTAGACGAGCACGTGCCTCGATCGTGAATTAATGATGCACGAGTTGCACGAGCCACCCTTATTTCAGCTCAAGAGCCTGTTGTGCGTTCTCAACAATTACTCCCATTAATCACGCTTCTCTGTCTCCGAGCTGCTACTCAGATGCCAGCGTTGTCGCGCACCTCAGAATTTCGTGCAATTCTGCAAGAGAAACAGAATGAAATTCCAGAGACTAAACGTCGTAAGATCACATCAAGACGTGCTGCAGATGGTCAACGCGAGGTTCAGGATATTCTCGGGAAGGAATACCTAGCGGAGGCATATTTAATTGTACGTATATGATGTGACATGCCTTCGCTCAAGTAACGATTGTGAATCGGTCCCCAGCTACAACATATCAACTCTCTAACTCGTATGCTGTCGGCTGTCCGGAGACCATATCTCAACTTAGACACTCGTCCTTCTCCATTGTCTCGTGAGCCATCACGGAACATAGACCTCAACTCCTCGGATCAGTCGTGGGCAAATATTCGCCATCTCACGAACGAGGAGAGGGACCAAATTGACCTGCAAGCCAGAGTCATCCTCTCAAGATGTGCGGATCGAGTAAAGAGATTAGAAGCAATGGAGAAACGTGAGAACTGCTTTACGCATATACTACGCGCTCATCCTCTGTACCAATGATCTTCGTTGCCATCTAGAGCGTGCAGAGCTGGCCGCGAGTCGCAAGAACCCCATTATCAGACTCTTGCCCGCGCGATTGCGCCAGGACGACCAAACTGCTGCGTCCGACTTCATAGCTGCACACCATTCCAGTGTAACATGGTACCTCAGCCGTCGGTTGACAGACACTAGCCAAACTTTGAAAGACATGCAAGAGGAACGCATGAAGCGGCAACTAGAGCGTACGCGCACACTAGGCTCTGGGGCTGCGCGAGAGGCCATGTACATGGATATGTCTGGATCGCTACCCTCACCCGCGGAATCGCCGGCAAGTGGCAGCTGGCTCGGCAACGCATCTAACCTCGCGTCGAGTTTCGCAGCCAGCATTAGTCCCGCTGAGAATGCGCACTCTACGATGATACTGAAGCCACCTTCCACGCCATCGGACGACTTCTTCGACGATACCGACGAGGAAGACATGGAGCTCACAGCCTCGCAAATCATGCAGTTTGAAACCGAGAACGCAAACATCCTGCAATCCGTTCAGGATACCTTAGTCTCCGTACAACAAGCCGAGTCTCGGCTGATGGAGATTAGTGCGCTGCAGATGGAACTTGTCACGCACTTGACACGGCAAACGGAGCAAACGGAGCAGCTCTACGAAGATGCGATCGCGACCGCAGCAACAGTAGAGAAGGGAAACGTGCAGCTGAAAGAGGCAAGACGGAGAGCGAGAGACAGTAGAAAGTGGATATTGCTGTTCCTCATTGGAGCTAGTTTGTCGTTACTATTCTTGCACTATTACTGATAGACATCCAGAAATGGCTGTCTTCACTATCACATCCCTGTAGATTCACTTACGGCACATAAGGATACTAGCATGCAATGCAAATAATATTCCGTGGACCATCCAGTCTAATGCATGATTATGTGGGATACAAGATACAGTAATAGAAACAATGTCAAACGGGGGACCGCGGAACCGTGTTCTGGTAGCTGCCTAGCAGAGGCGCATCCTCTTCGGCTTCTTCAATAGCCTCTGCAGCTAGTTCGTCGATCCTTGGGGAAAGACCTTGTAACCGTCGTATTTCCGTCGTCATGGCCCGATAAATGACCCTACCCAATCCCATTAATATTGCTATAATACTACTGGTCATAAATATATCACGTACCAGCTAGCAGTAGCACCGAGAAGCAACCCTCCTACGGATACCACCGCATTGAGGATTACGGTTGCTATGCAAGTAACATATATTACGCAGAGATTTCAGAGAAAGAGAATAGACCCTACAATTATCCATGTGGCTTCGTTGTTCACCGTCAGAGAGAGACGCAAGACGAGAGCCTACGAAAACGAAAAGTGCAATCTTAGGGAATACAACAAAAGTTGCCAGGAAGAACTGCCAAAGAGACACAGCCTCTATAGACTTCACCGTCGCGTAAGTACACGGGAGAGGAAGAGTGAATAACAACTTACAGCGAACAGTGCATTCGAGTAGACCCAAGGAGGGAATGGTGATGCACGGATTAAGACGATCAACGGCAGACCCTTGGCAGCCTACGGTGGTACTGATTAATACTATGAATATTGTGCGTGCATGGGATCACGTACAATAACGGTCTCCAGAGCTTGCCATTTCTCATTGGACGACGACCACTGTCGAAGTCTCTCGCTGAAGAGGAAGCGCAAGACAGTGAAGGAGAAGGCAGAGCCCAAGAGTGATCCGCCTGCAGCTATGGTAAACCCCTTCATGCCGTACGCATAGCCACATAGTGTGACAACGGTCGTATGTCCGATGCACGGGGGAAAGGATATTATTGCTAAAGAGGAATCAGCCTCCGCTTATGCATTCTGACCATAGAGTGGCGAAACATACTGAGGATGCATCCGAGTAATATCCATCCGTACCAAAGGTGGCTGATCCTCTGTGCCAGGTTATAAAGGCTCTGGCCGATTCGGCCAGGTCCAATGAGAATAAAAATGGTACCGAGAATAAGATAGAGACATGCTGTGGCCCAGATGAAGAGCTAGTTCAAGGTACACGAATTTTGTAACGTTTAATTCAGCGGTTACAGGGGCTTTACAATAGATGAGACTTACTTTACCGTGAATGCTCAACTTCTGATAACGCCTGAAGGCAGCTCCTATGTAATACTTGCAGACAGCAAAGAACCAGCCAAGCCGGCCGCCTATCGCTGCCATGGGAGATGCACAGGGCTGTAGGGACAGGTTATGGGTTGGATCAAGGCGTAACGGGGGCGCCGAACATGGCAGTCATGATTCATGAGTAACGTCCTGCCCACATCCAAGGCGCTACTCACACCACGGCTGAGTTTCATCTCTTGTGCGTTTCGCAAGATAAGAGTGCATGGAGAAGTTTTCGGCCTACCGTGTGTGTGCCCTCGTTCTAGTCACGTCCGCACATTTCACTCATGACATTTATGCCAGGATCCTGGGACAGGAATCCAGGTATTCATGACCTGTCTGAACCTTGCGACCCACCTCACTTACACATATACCCAAGCCATTTCTTAGACCAATCCCGCCATCAGGGTCTGAAACTCTTACGAGCATTATACTTCCCTTTGGCTATGTTGTAGGAACCATTCGGACAACGCTCGTGCTTGTGCTGGTGCTGCTCTATCTTTTCTCGGTGCATGGTATCTGCTTCGTCCTTGTGAGCATCCACTTGGATGTGTCCGTGGGCCGTCACTCATAGAAATAGAAAATAGTCCCACCTCTATATCGAGTGGTGACTCATTTTTTCACTACCATTATTGCACGGTTAGCCTTACTCGTACTCGGACTACCATGGATCTCGGTGGAAGTTGTTACACGTAAACGCGGGTCAGTCTCGGTGAGCATGCGTGTCTATGTCTTCTCACCAGCGTTCCAACAGGCGGGGTGTCAAGCCCACGGAAGGCTGGAATCCTACCGTCGGTGACCTAATTGTCTCTAACTGGACCTCGACGGTAGAGATCCTCTGGTTAGCTTTCCGGTGAGCTTCTCTTGTCTACAATGCAGCCTTACGGCGCCTCATCATGATTATGTAGATTTGATCCCATATTTGTCTTGCCCGTACATTCTCCTGCTGCTCCTGATCCACAGCTCTCAACGCCCCCTGCATCTCCCATCACTCACACGCCAGGAAGACGCACAGGTACAGGTTCAGCAGCCATCTCGTCGCCGGCTACTAGAGCGCCCACCGCTCCCGTACCTATAGTCGGCTTCCGTGAAGTATCCTTATTGTCTATGCTAAGTGCGACGGGGCATGTTGTAACTGCTACCCAGCTCGGAACTTCTGGAATAGAAAGCTTGCAACAGATCCGGAGTCGGGCGGACCGCCCAGTCGTTGTGTTCCCTGAATGCACAACCAGCAATGGCAGAGGACTGCTCAGATTTTCAGAGCTATTCAAAGATGTTGATGTTCCTGTGAAGAAATTTAGAGTGTTCCTCATGTGCGCGCGGTAAGTAACGAGTCACTTTTTTCTTGTGAATGTACGGCCCTAAAGACCAGTTCTTAGCTTTGACCCACCCACTGCCCTGTGTCCCAGTATGACCCATCCTATTCCTTCGATGATGCTCAATCCACTCTCGCATATTTTCACCCTCACCACCTCCCTCATACCCCTTTCAATGTCCATTAAACTGCTTTCTCCGACGGACTCGCCCAGTTCAGGCACTTTCCTCGCCAGCGAGTTCATCACGCAAGGCAAAACAGATGATATCTTAACTGAAGCTTGCGCAGCCTTGATCGCACAGATAGGGAAAATAAAAAGAGTTGGCCTTGGATGGGAAGATAAGCGTGCTTTCTTGGAGTTCTACAGGGGAAAAAGGCGATGAAGCTAGCTTCAATCTATCGAAATGCGTTAGATTAGATCGCTCTAACAGCGTAGAAAGGCTATATTTTAAATACTTCAACAGCTCAACTTGAGCCCGGAAGATATCATTTTTCGGGAGTGCACGCGAAAAAGGACATCAGCAGTCTGTAGTGCTCTTCAATCCGCACCCATCGTAAAGACTCTTGAAATACTGACATGATTGTCCCATAGCTTGCCTATCACCTGTCTTCGTCTTTGTGAGGCTTGTACTGGAGCGAAGATTTCTATGCGCTGATGTCATCAACACCTGCTGATGCCTTCGCGCGGTAAAGTCACCCTCAAGCGACATAGGGCACTGAGTGAGTCAAGACAATGTCACGTAATCTGCGACATTTTTCCTTCTGCGGAGGGTACGCCTTACTATAAGACCGAGAGAAATGAACTCTGTAAGCATTCTTACAGTTGTTAATCGATTTCGTATACTTCTTGTTCGATGTCTTCTCGCTCGATGGTCTCGAAAAAAAGCTCAAAGAGGATCTTTATGTACCTCCTATGCCACTTGTACATGCCTGAACTAATTGCTTCTCGTCAGAATGGACTCATCATACTGGTTTCAGCTGTGCGGAGGCCGTCGAGAAAGAATGTATAGGACATGCTAATAGGCTATTGCACAAGCTTCCAATTGTCTTAGGCTGAATCCTCAGAAGCGTTCAAACGCGGTCACGTGTCAAAATGTGCTATACGCACGGCCTAGACATTCTACAGACTCTGAACACTGTGATACACATAGTTGAACGAGGAAGTTAGTCTACAAGGACTACCTTGGATTAGTACAGCATCTGAAGCTCAGCGAGATGATAAAAGTACATTGATATTACAATCTAGCTTGAGGCCGTACAATCTCCTGGAACGCCCTACGTAAGTCGCTCTTGAGATCCTGTTGGAATCGGCATTCTATAAGCAGGGTAAGTCCAGACATAGGGATATGCGACGAACCTCCAAGTCCTCCACACCAACACTAATCCTAACAAGGCGAGGGTCCGCACTTGGGTCAACGGAGCTACGCTGTTCAATAAGAGACTCGACACCTCCCAGACTCGTCGCAGGCTAGAACACACATTTGTCCAGCTTCGTTGACGCGTCAAATGAACGTAATACTTACTATGAAATACTTCAAAGAATGTGGTAGAAGTCTCGCGTACTCTGAGTCAATCAGCTGGTTCATTGGTTAGCTACAAGCCTGCAAGAGAGTAGGGACTTGCTCACGAAAATAGAGAAGGTAGGATTCCACCCGCCCTCCATCTGAACTTTAGGGTTGAATCCTCTGTCGTCTGTGCCTTGGAGACTCGAATGCCAAACTTTGTCGATTACACCGGCCGGTATCCCGTCGTGTGCCTTTCCCTAGAATAAGCACCTGATCAATGAGAGCGATGATAGACCAAGGCTGTTAAAATGTACCCCCTCGGCCAGACTCAGCCACCGAGCAAGGCCCTCCGCGCTTTCCGACTGGCGGGGCACACGCAAATGCAGTGTGCGAAGGGAACGCAGGAGCAGCCACGACTCGAGGGAACCCATCATGGATCCAAGGAAGGTGCGATGCGTCCAGAGCTGCGACATAAATATAAGTCAGGCAATGTAGTTTTTGACACACTAAAGTAGTGCGAGGAAAATAGCGATACCGCCGCCGCCTATCGTTATCCACAAACGGAAGACCGCTAATATCCGACATGGGAAACAACAATTTCATATATGGAAAGGCGGGACCAGGATAGCCGAAATTGATTATCGCAGATGGCAAGTTCACTTACCGTCTTCCACTCATCTCCGCTCTGCACGACGAGAACGCCACAAAGCAGATCAGAGTGTCCACCAAAATACTTAGTGCCTTGTTTATCAAGATGGTAATAAGTCGCGATAACGCCGGCGTAGCCGGACACACATACCACTGTGGAGGACCATGTCTGCTCCCCATTTGAAGGGGTACTGAAGAGGTGGAGGGGCGAAAGTCGAATCGACTAACAACTTTCCTCCGGCTGCATGTACCTGTAATCGATGTGATTGTTAGCTAATGACGAGAGCAGTATAGGAATTTGGTACCTTGTCTGCGTAGAATTTGATATCCCTGATCAACATGTTCAGCGATCATTTCCACGTAGATAGCCGAACAGCACACGACTCGCCTAGCTTCGCCTGTTGGATTGAGAGGCGTTTCTAACCAACACAAGTCGCCCGGTCGAAACTCGTCATCTATTCCGATGATTGGTAAGTCGCTTCCATGACTATGCTGGTATACCGCGATGGTGTTATGACATCCGTGGTATCCACCAGAGATGGCGATACGTTTGGGACGGAAGTAAACTAGGGCCTATAAGATGAAACAATCAAAGGGTGTCAAGAGACGAAAATACAGCGTGAATCTCACGGCATATGAAGCGGCCAGACCTGATGCGTATGTCATCGCATATCCGCCCTAATATTCACGAAATATTCACACATCTTTGCAGAATAGCGTCGGCGGAACGGGCTCGACTTACGTTGATTTTGCTGAGCACATGTTCTGCACGCGTGCTGATGTTCTGCGTGTAGCGTGAATAGATGTGTCTTGTCGGATTCCGGAAATCAAAATCCTCTGGATTAGGCGGAATATTGTTCTGAGGCAAAGGTGCTCTGAAAGCTTGTCAATGCGCATATGTTGGACTTAGCTTTGCATACTCGTTTGTTTTAGAGCTGCTTACTGGACGTCACTGAGATGGATGGAGCTACTTCTTGCCCATGAGCGAACTCGTCGTCGCCGTGGACGAGTACGGTTCCAGTCAGGCGCTGATGCAAGGTTTTAGGTGACATGATAGTTAGCCTGGCGGTCAACGAGACAAGTAGGAGGTGAAAGGAATTGGTCGCATCAGATGGTCAGCCGTTCATCCATTTATATGATACTTATAGTTCCTACGGCACGGTGTACCGCATCGCGATTTTCCAAGTGACTCGGCGGTCGGCGACGGGCGTGTCCCGTTCTGGATGTCAGGATGTGCACGTGACGTTGACGCGACCGCGTTTGAATCAGCGGTTCAAGTTCAAGTTTGTTAAGAGCGTGACGGCGTCAATTTCTTGTTCTTGTCTCATCCACTGAGTACTACTTATCCTCTTCACGCCTTCAGGCAGTTCTGTCTTTACTGGATATTAACTTTATAGCCTTTGGTCCCCATAATTTGGCGCATCCCTCCCTGCGTCATGCCTTGCTTCACTATTCTATACACTGTCTTCTTGTCTACGATTCTAGTTTCACTGTATGTTTCTAGAGCAGCCGCTGCCGACATCAGTGCATTCAAGACGGGTCTTGAGAAGAGATACAGCACTGCTCACTCGCTAGGTGACAATTACCAGTTCAACTCTGGGGATGGCTGGCAAGCGATCAACGTCACCAACCTCCAATACAAATATTCTCGCTCAACTTCAGACCTCAGCGTAATGGCCACACATCTAGACGGTCCGCATCATCATAGGAAGAGGTCCAGCAAGAGTTCGGGTCCCAAGAAATCAAGCAAGTCAAGCAAGCAGTCTAGTCCTAAGAAATCTGACATCAAGATGTACTCTACGAGCGCTAATTCAACTGCCAAGTCTATCACTAAGGGTCTCCTCGGGTCTGTTAAAGGGTCTATCAAGGACATCGTGAGCACAATCAAAGGTGTCGGCAGTCCCGAACCCGTTACAATTACATGGTATACATTCGTGGGATCCAGTAATAACTAATGTCCTGACTGCAAGTTGCTTCTAGGTATACCGGCCACGATTTGTTAAACCCAAGCTGTTGGTCGAATCCTAGTTGGGCACCTACTGTACGTCTGGAAGGGCATTGGGACCTATCAACCCTGACGTTTTGTACTGTAGGATAACTCTTTCGCGTGCGCTCTGACCCTGAACGGTTGGACTGATAAACCAAAATGCTTCCAATTTCTCGAGCGTGTGCATCAATGCCATTAACTGTGTTCATTTACGTTCTGAATTTCTCTTTATTTCCTAGTTTGCAATACGTCCAAGAAATGCGTCTTCGTCCGCGTCGTGGACTCGTGTGCCGGCTGTGCCGGTGGCTCTAAACATGTTGATCTCACTAAGGCTGCCTTCTCCGAATTGGCAGATCTCGACGAGGGGATCTTAACTGTACAAATGCGACCAGCGACCTCACCGGATGGGTGGTATGTAGAAACACCTGTTATCCAAATTCGACAGCTGACGATAATACAGGCTAGAGAATCTATGGGGTCCAAAAGCTTAAATCATACACCGTTAATCGCAAGGAATCCGCAAATATTGTCTTCCCTGCCCTAGACTTACTGCCATCATGAACCAGACGAAGGTCTTTCCTTGTGACTGTATCAGCATCATTAGATCTGTGCCCCGCCCAT